TTTGGCGATGGACGTCCGCGGCGCTACGCCTGCGGCGGACAAGGCGCCGGCATTTGCGCCTGCGCACAGGCCAAGCACAGCCCCCGCGGACCGATCAAGGGAGCAGCAACAGGCGGAGGAGCGGAGTGACTGTCCGCGGGATGAAATTTCGGTGCGCGATGCGCAATCAAACCCCGCGCAGCCACCCTCCGCTCAATCGCCTTCGGCGGCGGACGTCGGCGGCAGAGAGGATACGGTAGACGACCAACAAGCGGGCGGCGGGGATGCAGCACGGGCACATTCGCCTACCGCCTTAGACATTTTGGCGAAGAGCAGCGAGGCTGCAGCAGTGCCTTCGCAGGCAGCACACGTCGACGACGTGCAGCCCCACTCGGGTCAGTCGCCGACGCAATCAATGGCGACTGAAATTCTCCACTCGGATGATGACGACTGAGGCTCCACCGAAGAAATGTCAGGAGCAGTGGACACCGAGGAGGAGGAGGAGGAAATTGTTGGAGCGCCGGCGGCGGCGCTCTCTAAGCAGGTGATTCCGTTGCTGAGGTACCTAGATCGCAAAGTCGATAAATACGCCGACCCACTTCAGCCGGGATCTTACATCGAGTTAGTGCGCAGGCGGACTCGCACTAAAGTCCACACCAGCAAGCTACTAGCTAGAGTGGACCAGGAGTTGAGGGAATTGAAGGAGAAGCATGAATGCTTGTGGGGTCAGTATAAACTCAATCAGAAATTCTACAAGTACTCCGAGAAGGTGAGGGATGGGAAACTAGAAGAGCTCACCAAGGAGCAGGTGAAGGTCACAGAAGCACTAATTTCTGAGCAGGCCCAGAATCGGATTTTGTCAGAGGAGCTCGTGCGACAGACGCGGTTGTTAGAGCAGTGTCAGCTCGCACGACAGGCGAATGAGGATGTAATCCGCAGGCTACAGTCAGAGTGTGGCGAATTGAGAGCGCAACGTGCTGAGGCCGAATCGCAATTAGTGGTAATTGAAGAGGATCGCAGGCAGGAGGCAGATCGCACAAAGGAGGAGACGGCGAGGCGTGTCGCCCACTGTCTCAAGGGCTACGCCCACTGGGAAGTGGCGGCGCAGGAGAAACTCACACTGCGTGAGTTTGAACTTCGCGCGGCCGGGTTGTTGTCAGGCGACAGCATGAGTCGGCGGAAGGTAGCAAAGAAGCTCGACGCTTTTCTGTCGAAGGCGCGGGATACCATGTCCGCCCTCGAAGTGGAGGTGTCCGCGGCGTTGCAGCGATTGGGACTGCGCAGTCGAGCGGAAGACTGGCAGGGTAGGGAGTTAGTGCGCGGCAGTCCGTCGCGCAGGAGACGTAGCACAGGTTCCGCGGAGTGTAGTGTAGCGTGGTTCCGTGCAGGCGTGTAGCGTAGTGCAGTGTAGTGCTAGTTAGGACTTAGAAGGTATAAAATAGTTCCATGTGTTTTGCCTGGGGTTTTTTCCCAAACTCAGAAGTGCAGATCAGGAGTCCATTTCCTCTGCGTGTTTGTGTCCTTAAGTTCTGTCACCACGCATGAGGAGTTACAACTTAGCGTTCCGCATTTTGTAGCTGAAGGCCTTCGGCCGAATGTTTAGAGCTAGTACATTGGTTAGAGAGTTGAGTAGTTCGGATCTGCACCTGCGGGTGACTGCCGATGCTCAGAGCCAGTGACTAGTTAGATACTTGAACAGTTTCGCCCCTACACCTTCGAGTGTTTCTTTCTGATTGTACTCCTTTGGGATTTTTCCCCTGAATGCCAAAGTGAAGTTTTGTTACTTCATGTAAGCCTTGGTTGTGAATTCAGGTTACGCTGCAGCAGGTGCCTTCAGGGTAACCCCTGTAGTATTTCTGGGAATGACAAGTGCCTGAGAATTCAAACTCTTCAATAGACTGTTGTTGGGTTACTGGAATGTTTCTCCGTGAGTCCTTCAGTGCGGACCTATGTTCTCTTCGCGTTTTGTGAGTTGAGAGTGTTGTTCACCGCGTATGAGTGACTTGGATCCGAAGTAGGCAGTCCAAACCGGGTTTCCTACGCTAGCAGCAAGCTAGTGGAAGTGTTGTAAAAGCCGGAGTTGGGAGTCACTACCCGCAGCTTCGCTGAGTGTACTCTTGAGAGACTTCCCCCTGAAATCTTGAGTAGAGGTACTAACGGATCTCTGGGTTATGTTTCTGTAGTTTCAGGTGTGTGTGTGTGTGTGTGTGTGTGTGTTACGCTGCACTGTGCGACCTCCGAGTGCGCTCCGAGTGGACACTTGCAGTATTTCTGGGAGTGACAGTCGCCTGAGAATTCAAACTCATCAATAGTCTGTTAAACGTGACACTTTGTACCCTGTGTGTTCCTCTGTCCCTGTGGGTTCGACCTTTCTACCACTATATTGCAGTTTTAGCCTTTAGTGGGTTATTACATCAACCCCAAAACATGAACAAGAATCACATAAAAACATCAGCAAAACTTCACAACACCACCACCAAAGTATTCGGTCTACACGCACTTCTTCGAGTGAAAAAGTCCGAATCACAAACATAGAGTCGAGCCAAACTCACTCCACTCTCGGAAGACTAGAGTCGAAGCTAATGGGACTGACATATCCCTACGCAAAAGGCTCAACTCGAAGAACTGACAATTTTTTGAGCTTGACTTCAATATATCCCTGGAAAGTGTCGTCTCCACCCAACGCTCCTCGACCGTCTGCCACGGCCCAACGTCAGCCGCGTTCCAACGTTTCTCCGTCTCAAGCTCAAATCCAACGTGGATCTGCAACTGCACTAACGTATATACACATGACAGAGTCTTTCATGTTCAAACATGGTTATTTTAGACGAACGTAAACGGCGATGCCTAAACTATCTAAACTGTGGTGCGTTTTGGGTGAAGCAACCAAGGGGGAGGGAGCATCTAGCCATAAATGTGTCAGGATTGTAATAGATTGTCAACTCAAAAGTTTCACTCTTGACCTATATTTTCATAAAGTATCACCGATCGTTTTCACCAATTTTCACCGATCATTTTTTGAGTAGAGTAAGATCTGGGTCCGTGCGACTTGCTCTCGTTGATTCAAAATTTGCACTCTCGACTCCTATTTTTATCTACTCTTGATTTTCCCTGATTTTCATAGACTTTCGTTTTCAAAGTAGCAGTAAGATTTGTGGGCAAGTGGAGTCGTGGTGAATATTACCCGCACATTATGTTCTTGTTGTCGCTCTTATGATTCTTAATTCTTTTTTACTCATGTTTCTCAAAATTGCTAGAGAGAATAAAATAGAATTGTAAATAGCTAACACCTTCTCCTTCAAGCCGTCAGTTCAAATCACATGTTGTGGTCCAATTACTCCTCACCCTGCTGCGCTTGTGTCTTGGATTGGATTTGTTGCCTTTTGTCAAACTAACATTCAGCTCGTAATCTTGCGGTGTACTTTGCGCTCGGTTTCCATCGGATTTTTTTGGATTGAGCAGCGGGATTGTCAGCTCTTTGGGTTGTACATTGGATGACACAATATTTTGACACCTAGCTTTGGATCATATGCAGTTTCATGTCTGTTCTCAGCAAGTAGAGAAGTGTACTGAATTTTTTCTCTGTTAAGTATAATATTACATTGTATATTTTTGTTTGATATTTCTTGTTTGCATGAAATTTACATAACCTTAGTCTACCGGCAGAGCAGGCTTTTTTTAGATGTGCTACAACGAAGTTGAGCTAGTGGGAATTATACTCTCATGCAGTTTACTGCAGTAAATGATACTCTCATGCAGTTTTCTGCAGTAAATGATACTCTGCTGATCCAGGACCACATCTTTATGCTTGTAATATCTTCGGCAAGCTGGAGATGACTAGTCTTCATTTGGTGCTAGATTTTCAAATGAAATATTGTGATATATTATAATTTATTTTTCTTGAGATTAATTCCTTGGAAGAGACATTCGTTTCGCAAAAAAGTATGTGGATTGAAGGAAGTAATGTGTTCAAAATAATTTTCCTTCATAGTCAGTTCTAGTATTTATCAATGCTATGATAAATGCTAAATATACAATTTCTATTGAAATTAATGCACTTTAACTTTTTTGAGTAGACTTTTTTGAACTTTAACTTTTTTGAGTAGATTAATATAACTTTTCATACTACGTCCCATCTCTCTCTCTCTCTCTCTAAAGCTAATCTCATTGCCTTTTCATGAAGATGTGGCACCCGTACCGACAGACATGGAACGCTGGCTGCTTTCACGTCAAATTACGATCATGTGACGTCGGTCTGTAAGCTACTGGCGGAGACGGACCCGTATGAAATTGATTGATTAGTGTTCCATTGCGCAATTGGACACTGGCCGCTGCTGCTGGGATGCTGCCGTCACCCAAACCAAGGCACGCGAGAATCATGGGGCGAAGGAAAGCCCCCGGTGCGAAGGCCTTGCTTCCTTTCACTTGCTTGCTTTGACTTGACCTGTCCACCGTCTCCCTTTGTGGATGTCAGAGCTCTCGATCGTTTCAATCATCGTCTATGAAGAACGCGCACGCGTGTGCTTGCTCTTCGACTGTCGCGTCAATTGCGGTACCTACATAGTCAAATGAGGATTGGTGAAAGTTACTCTGCCATGGAGTGAGGGCAAATGATTCAGTAGCATGTTCTCAATCTGGCTTGGTTGCAGAAGAAGCGCTCCTTCAAATCGCTGCTGCTGCTGTTGTTGTCTCTGTCTCTGGCTGTTATCAAGTATTAGTTCTCAGAACAAGCATGCTTCGTTTCTCCTTCCTGTTTTTCGCGGCGAGGTTGGACCTGGAGCTTCCTACGAAAATTGTGCTCTACTACAGCTCGTCCACTCTCTCAGATGGTATCAGTATCGAATTCCTAACATGAATTGTATGAAGCCTGCACTCTCATAAGCTCCTCGGACGAATCACTTCAGAATTTGTGAGTGCGCCGACTTGGAAGTCAGGTTTCTTCAAACAGCTCTATGCGAAGACGGATGAAAAACCTGACGCAGCCCACGACACTCGATTCATAAAGGTTACTACCAAAATAACGGCGTTTCAGGATACACGAACAAAATTTATTGCGCGAAACAAAAAAATATATAGCGCTCTCCTAATTATATGTTGCACTCTCTATACTTCATACTTCACGCCACCGTTCGTACAACATTTGATGGAGAGCACTTGCAAGTGTTAATAACTACTCTGTTCCAGTTATGATCACCTTTCCTACGGGTCTATGATAAAATACTGTCAGCTGCAGTGATCTCAGACCGTGGGTTTCGAAGAATACATATTTTAAGCTCTGACAGCTCTAATCTCTGGCGCAATTCATGCCATACCAAGTTCTGGACGGCATGCTCAAAAAACAACGATGATGATATAAGCGTTATATAAAACACAAGCTACTATTTATTCGTGATTGGAAACCAATACAATCACGGTGATATATCCTCTGAACGCCGTATGCAGAACGAAAGGTGGCTGTAAAATTAGTCGACACAGTGGACGGATAGCGCTTCCAGCTGTCAATCGAAGTGTCGCAATTCTATCGTGCATCGCACAAGACCAGGAGTCTGGGAGAGCTCATCCAAAGAAGGTCAAACTAAGTAAAAGGGGATGAATATCTTCATAGACTGTACAGCGTCGAACTCACGAGTGCGACGATCGCTACGCAGCAGCCAGAATCACAATCGACCAGAGGGCAACTGGATCGGAGACGCGGCGGAGGGGAAGCAATGCGGCAGGCAGAGAGAGAGAAACCCCGAGATTCTCGACGCTTTGAGTGGCCATGAGAAGCAAGTGAGGGCTCGATCCAGCTCCAGAAAATCGAAAAGAGGCCGAGAAATCGATGGATCAGGATTCGGAGGCGATGAATTGGACGAGCTGCGGAACATTCTCGACGCCGGTAACGGGCAGATCGCCGCGCTCGAGGAGGCCCGTCTGCACGAGGACGCTGGCCTGGTCCCAATAGATGCGCTCGGAGGTGACCTTGTCGCCGCGGAACGTGACGATGACGACGACAGGGATCTCGACGCGCTTGCCGGTGGGCGCGACGCCGGGCAGCAGCCAGGGAATGGGCGCGTCGTGCGTGAACTTGAAGAGGATCTCGTCGCAGAGGCGGTTGCTGCCGACGGTCCGAGACAGCGCGACGACCTCGACGTCGGCCGGGATGCTCGGCATGAAGGTCTTGGCGTAGAAGTCCTCGATCGTGCCGAGCCGATGCGTCCCGCTCCCGCTGCCGCCGCAGGCCGTGGGCACGTTGTACACGTACCCGTCGTCGACCATGGTCTCCAACGTCTGCGCAACGTTCTTCCTCTGGAACTCCGACGCCATGTGATGCTCCCACACCTCCACCATCTTCCGCTGCGCCGCGCTCCAGTTCTCCTCCTCCGCCATGATTTCTCGCTCTCTCCCTCCCTCGATCGCTCGGCGTCGATGGGCGATGGTGGCTTTCTCTCGAGTGCCGACCAGGTGCCGCTCTTTTATGCTGGGCCGCGACCGGTCTAGTTGACCGCGTCTTTCTTCGAGTGTGGGACTTCGTCGTGATGCTTAGTCTTCGTCCCCTCGTGTCGCTTGAGCGACATGGCTCATCTCATCGAGCTCCGGGCAATCCCAGAAACAACCGATCACAAAGGATCGCAACAGTAAGCGCAAGAACAGACATCTGACAGGACTGCAGGACCTCGCTCTCTCGCTCGCTCGGTCTGGAAGCACTTGAGCACAGGGCACCTGTGGTGTGCAATTCAGCTCCTGGAAATGAAATTCGGATTTGCGCTTCGGCTTTGAATATTGTTGTGAATTCGGGTCTTAGTCTTGGCGGCGAGCGATGGGATGATTCGATTGCGACTGATACGACTCGGTTTAGTCGAGTTTAGCATTTTGTTTTAATTCTTTTGGGTGTTCGTTCCTTATTCCATTGGAGTGATAATATGCTTAAATACAATGATTGACTTTTACGCACCTTCTAACTTTAGAAGAGTTCGGACATACGCTAACATATATCGTTCTTTTTAATTAGAACCACATGTGTTGATCGATAAATGTGTTAATCGTTAAAATTAACTCTGTAAGAGGCGTATTACTGGATTATAGTAGACTTTTCACTAAAGAAGTAATTACGTAAACTTTTTAAACTTTTATATTAACTAATAACAATGATCTTTTAAATCCGGTGTTTAATTGAAATAGTTTCAATGGAGAAACTATTGAAACTCCACACACTCTCTACAACTCGAATAAATAAGTCTCACTAGTAAGTAAAGGGTTTTAGAATTCGGAAATTGTAAGGAAGTTGTAGACTGGGTCGACGAGTGATGGTGAAACAACGTCGACTTTTCCACGCAATAACTAATCGAGTGAATTCTCGTTCACTGGAGGAAAACAAGCGAACGAAATACCAGGAGTAGGGAAGGAGTAAAGTCCGGAAATGTGATTTCCAGATTATTCCGACCAAGCATCCCCAAAGATGCCCCATGAATCGGGCGGCTGTACGGAGATCCCCCAAAAATGTACCAACAAGACTGGCATGGTCAACTTCAAATACGGCAGGGACGCGGTCTCTTCATCCAAAGGAATGGTCGGTAGCGCAGATGTGGTATGAGACTGTGGCCCATGTTCTTTCTAACCCGACACGTTAAGTACAGTACAGCATTGATAGAGTACAGATATGCGCCATGTACAGACATTTGCATATCCGATACCCGAGTTTATAGGTAAAGTATAATTACTAATGATATCATCGGTTTTTGAGGGAGATCTTGTTTGACATATAACAAAAGAATGTAGATGTTTCGTGTATAGCAACATTGATAAGTGTTGCAGTTCCAAAATTAAGTTTGGTCTGAGAGCATAGGTAACCTTGTGCACTCAAACCGAGTATATTTATGATATATAGTTTTGGAATGGTGACAAACCGTAAACGTTTATTCCATTCCATCTTTTCAAACAAATGTTCAATCATTTACAAGAATGTACATTCTTGTATTTTCAGACTGTATAGGTGATATACTTCAAAACATTCATATACCTCGTCGGTAAAGACTTCAAAATCGTCTGTAGATATTACTTGTTGAGGAATTACTCTGCAGCTTTGGTTTCTTCCTTGTATTTAGCAGTCATTCTGGGGAGGCACGATACTGCTTTTGGCATCCTCTACCCGTCCAACTGTATAATAGTTTGATAGTATCCACATTCTCTTGGATGATGCTGCTGATGTCGGTCTCATTTTCGCCTCTGGATTACTGTGAAATCAGAGGTTGCCAATCAGACCGAATGAAACGGAGGGTTGACAAAGTAAAGGATTGGGGAAAAGAGAACAGATAAGACCTGCGAACAGGTTGCTGACAACAACCATGTGCTAGCTCGTTTCAAGTGCGTATGTTCCAAACTTGTGTGCCACGGTCAAGAAACAGTTGAATCTGTAGCTCAATATGCAATCTGATAAAAGTGATCAATTGTCCTAACATTGGTATTTGCGACATGCATAAACCTGGGACACTAATTAAATATTGAGAGTGCATTAGCAAATGTAGGTGGCATCAACATGAAAAGGTTGCGGTGTTTCTTACGTCAAGCATATTTCATCAAGAGCTGTCTCTGTAATATCGGGGAGGATAAATGTTGAAAATATTTATTGAGGTTGTGAACAGTCCACTTCTCCTTCAGTACACCAATGTACATCGTCAGTATAAGTGTTCGCTTATACATCAGTTTTAAGCAAGTGTGACAATTTGTCCAATTAAAAGTCCATCGTATGAATATATATCAAAGCACCATTCACAACTGAGAAATGTCGATGTTACTGGGTGAAGACAAATTCTAGCAAATTTTCTGGCATACAGGAGTAACGCAAATCCCTGCAGAGTGCAATACACAATGTCATTAGCTTCCACCAACGGGGCACCAGTTCACACGAGGAACAAAAAGGATCTGGCACGGTAAGGAAAGGGGACGATGATAAGTGTTATCGAGCTAGAGCATAAAATTCTGAATAGCAAGCAATCTAACAATCTTCTAAGGAAAGGATCTTACCCTCATGGTCCCACTGTTAGACAACAGTGTTCGATATAATTTGAAGCAATGGCTGTTGAGTTCATTAATTATTATCAAATATCTCGAGGAATCTCCGAAGGCCTGATGTAGAAGAAGTCGGTTTCTTTACGATTGCATGATCGATCGGCTTATGATGTCGTCGAAGAAAAGCATCGAAGAGATATTTGGGTTAGGGGCGCAATGGAGGGTTCAACCAACACATTCAATTTTATGTGATTGATCAATGTCGGCAATATGTTACAAGCTACTTTGGCCGACATAGCCGCTCGAAGCTGTCGGATGAGGCGCAGCCTCTATGCTGTACAAGGCTGTAGTACACCAGCCAAAAGTGTGTACACAAATGAAACCCGAAAAATCTGGCGTAGTCAACCTAAAGCGGTACACCCTGATTTGTTCCTTATTAGGCATTGCGCTGGATCACCCGTCTCTCCCTCATGAGCTCAACTTCTCCTCTTGCCTCCATTACTATTAGGGCTCGCCTTACCTGTACGTGGACGAAAATTAGTCCGTAGCAAACGTTTCTCAGAATAAAAGCAGGAGAAAAAAAACAGCCAAAACAGCCGAACTTTACAAACTCTATTATCGGACAGGTCAATTAACAGTCAGAAGTACAGTGCACTTATATAATACATTATGTTTCAAGTATGTCCAAGAGAAAGATTCTTCTTGGGTTACAACAAGGATGGAAGCAACAATCAGTGCTTTAAAACTGGAATTTTATCAGTATGACTTCTTCTCCCAAACACGTGGTTATATAAATATATATAAAATACAAATGATAGGCACTTAAATCTAGCACTCAATCGCTTCATAATTCCACAGCTCAGTCCGGGGGAGGGTTTCCAGGCCATGACATCTACATACCAATTAGTACAGGTGCAGGGAAGGCTAAAAGTATGGATTCTCATCCAACGTGGGCGGAACTAGTGCAAGCACACGATGGTATAGGACACTCATCAATGAATATTACGCTAAAATTGATTTCAGTAGTTGCATTGTGCAGTGATGAAAACCTAAAGCAGAAGTAAGCTGGTAAATACATTGATCGTCAGCTTAAAGAATGAAACGAGCCGTAGGTGAAGACAAGGATTTCATAGGAGAACAGTGACAGTAGACACTGAACCGAAAGAAATTAGTGGCAATCAGTCCGAGTACAGTAACAGGCAGAGAGAAAATGAAGCGAGGAACAGAAGGCAACAGCAGGCGCAACAGACCGCGTTTGTGACGTAACGGAGCCGGGCATATCAATTGGTGGATGGCAATCATTTCGTTGAACAAGAGTTCGTCATCGGTCCCCTAACCATCGTGGTGAGAATGACGACCCATGACCCTTCCATGAGCCGATACTAGTACATCACATTCACTATAAATGAAGACTAAATCAAAGAGAGCTAATGGGAAGGGGGCACATAGACATTAAAAAACGATGGGAAGACCTCATCAAGCATTGAACAAAATCAATGGGAGATCAGGGGCTTGTCCTCGATGATATCAAGAGAGTGGAGTATCACTTAGTCAACATGTCTTAACAGGCGAATTATGGTACATATTTACTTCCGTCCGTACTATGGCAGTTTTTTTCACCGCATGTGGCAGTTGCAGCTGAGGATAGTTACGTTAGAAACGATATCATAGAAGTCATCAAAACTGTCCTCACTAGAACCTCCCTGGCATGCCCAACGTCTCATTATAACTCAAATTCATATCGCCCCCACCAACAGCAGTCAAATCTTAACATCACTCATTCCTGCAAGTGCTCACAAACGCAGGCTTGAGAAGAACAATCTCTGGCACGAATTTTGGGCGGATAGAATCACCCACTGGCTATCAGGTTGCAATACTTTAACCTTCTAAAACCTTGGACAACACATTCGTTGAGGTACTGACAAAGCCTCTGAAGTTTAAAAGCCCTTCCTTGCCGCAGATGAATCCCTTCCTTGCCGCGGTTTAGATTCTTTCGCCGCGTGCTTTCAACCATCAAAGAGTAGGAGATGATAAAGATATGTACCGTATTTTCACTCATGCCCATCCGACCAAGTACTTCAATAAGATTTCTTGTCGACATGCGACTACCAATGCCCATGCGTCGCTTCACTTGTGCCTCCACTTGCTACAAACACAGCAGAATTCAGAGAGGGAGTTTTGCAAGGCAACAATATAAACAAATCAGATAACTCGTATTTGACCCAATGGAGCTCCGGGGAGACAAAATTCAAACTCGTGTATACTCCAAAATGAAAGCACACCGTTAAGGAAGTTAAGAGATCACATAGAAATACCTGAATTTCGGTTCGCATCTCGGGTGTAACTGTGATATGAGCCGCCACTCCAGACTTGGCGGCATCGAGTGTGGAGACGGTAAATAGTCTAATTGCTTCGGCGACGTGCTCCTCTGAGGCCTCCGGGGATCTGCACATCATGTTCCATCATCATCTGGATCAAGGTGCTGGACCCAACTCTGTCGAGGTGGCGGTTACTACCTCAAGACATCAACACCGGCGGACAAGTTTAATGTTAAGCATATCGTTCTTAGATTCCTCGAACGAGTCTGAATTTCCTGCTTCATAAAGGTCTACATAATGTCGTGGCCTTGTATAAATAAAGTTTTATAAGTTTGTGCAATAGTAAATGTGGAGGACAACACTCTGTACTTCTCTCTAGTGGAATCGAAACACTTACAATTGCATTCTAGCTATAGATTCACTGATACGTATAATTGCCTCGAGTTGACGAACGGTGATTGGTATGGGAGATCCCTCTCCATTTCGATCGTTTTGTCGTTGGCGCATGTCCTGGACAAATATTTGTAATGCAATCGTACTAGATTTAGTCAATATTGGCCAGACAAGATTAACCTGGTAATACTTCCCTTCACAAAAATATACCATTAAAATCACAACTTATTTTCTGGTCAACGCAGTCAGTGCACAGATCATGGGCAGTACAAACGGTTAGTGGAAAAGCAGAATTCCTCGAAGACAGCGATCCCCTTTACAAATCGGTGTGCCTTTCGGTTGCAATATGAAAGTTTCACAAAAAAGGCAGTATTTGTAGGTTCATGCAACTAGACCAATAAAATTGTTTAATTTTACGTTTAGAAACTAACCTTGCGTATTTGAACGTATTTGGTTTGAAGCGCATTCGCAGCTGATTCAGAGAGTCGAGGATTGGACGAATGCCTAGCGTACTCTATGTATCTGCAAATAAGAGCACGAGAAGGTTTAGAGATGCTACTGTCTGTGGTGGCAAAGCAAATTTCCTACCGAATACACTTGAACAAGTGGATCCACCAAAATGCCTATTGAAAAACAGTTTGCTTGTCACCTTCTGAGCCAGTTTTCCTTGTCGGCTCCTCCGTCAGCATCCTTGGCAACAGAAGTGGCCGTCGCATGCACGTTCACTATGTGTCGTGCTATTTCCTACATGGCAAAGTGGTAATTACAATCAGGCGCAATTGCGAGTCCTGTAACTTGCAAATGTTTTCCCTGGGTTTAGTGGCATAATTTGAAACTAGAAAATGGAGTTGACCACGCGCCAAATCATGGAGGTAAGTCGTACCATATCTCTTGTATGATCACGAGTGTCCTTTACTATGAAAATGAGATCGAATCGAGAAAGAATGGTTGTTTGCAGCTCAATATTCTCTTGGGCCGTCTGCATTGAGTTCAGGTCTTTGCAGGCATTAGATCAGGGTCACTCGCAAGCACCTTTCAGACGCAACAAGAATCAGCTATATGAAAGAGACTAGATATGAAATCGACAGCATGACTCGTTACTTCGTGGAGAGGCTAGGGAGGGGAGAGTCAATCAAAGGACAAATCCTGAATACGAAGGCCTCTAGCTTCGAATAGTCGTCTTGACTTTCAGAAAGTAGCTTCAAAGATCCTTCTCTTTCTCAACTTCGTAGTAAAGTTTTCGTTACACAGTCTAAGTACATATAAAGTCAATCATTGACAGAAACTCGCCTTAAGATCATCATAGCGTCCTGATGGAGGATTAGCAGCTGCCAGAACGGCGGTCCGAGAATTCAATACTGTGGTGATTCCTGCCTTGGCAATTGAAATCGTCTGCTGTTCCATAGCTTCATGAATGGCCACCCTACACAATACAAGTTATCAACCAATAAACCTTTCTATTAGCAGGGTTGAATGTGAATGATGACTGTCTGAAGTGAAACGGGATGCAGATGTGGCCCTTCACAACCTTGAAGGGCTTGAATCAAACATCTGCCAGGATTTTCTGGTTCCTAGACACTCTGGTCCCGCAAACAAATGAATGAGAGGAAACTCTCACTTGAAGACATGTTGAGTTACTTCTTGACAGACAATGAGTCCAATACCAAGCTCTTCAATTGAGTTGGAGTGAAGGGGGCGCCTACCTGTCTTCAGGCCGCATCTTGTCAAACTCATCAATACAAACAACTCCTCCATCGGCAAGAACCATTGCACCGCCTTCCAAGTAGAACTCGCGCTACATAGAAGAACGTTCCCGATGTTAGTTCACATAGATACACCGTTCTCATTGTCCTTCAAATCTTCAAAGAAAAAGCTGATGATCCACCAATCACTACAGTCGTCTTCCAACGGAATTGGACGGAATATAGAAGGGCATCTTGACACGGGGAAACACGACCCTCAAGTATGAGGTGATATCCTCAAAGAAGACCCGCCAGGTGTTGGTTGTGTCAGCTACAGGATTACATGGAAAGCCGTAAGACGACCTTCCCACCCAGACCTTTGGATAAGAGGCCCGCTTGAGACTTCCGTTTCTGTAGCAGTGACAGGACGAGCCCGTCCGGGAAACAGAGCAGGAAGGAAGCCAATCACAAAATAGACCTTTCAATGTCCAAGGTCTACCATGAAATCGGTGGTATCCCGATATACCTTCGGGAGATTCCGTATCAAAGCACACGGCTGAAGTCCAAATTAACATTTGGGAGTAATACCTCTAAGCCCATGCTGCAGGCATGGACTCCGGTACAACTACCAAGCAACTGCAGATGGTAGTAGTTCTCCAAGATCCTACCATTTCTGGTTGTCTTAGGAAACAGAACTAGAGGCTGAGAACCACAAGTACTCACAGAACTTGAGTCACGAATGACAGATGCAGTAAGTCCAGCAGCTGAAGATCCCTTCCCAGAAGTGTAAACGGCAATTGGTGCAGTTTTCTCGGCGAACTTCAGAAACTGCGTATGAGCCCAATTCAGCACCAATCAATATCGCATAGTCGCAACATCTTTCACAAGATAATTGTTAAGGTCAAAAGTGTTCTTTTCAGGTTGAAAAAAAGTGCAGTCTCCAATGCGCTGTTTAATGGCCTGCAAGTGATTGACTGGCTTCTCAAATAAATAAAATTAGACACTTTGTTCTGCAAAGACCATGTACTTCAATAGACCTCCATCTCAAACCTGACATCAACGTTTATAGAGATCATGGTAAGGGAGCCTACCTGAGATTTAGCGGTAGATGGGTCTCCAAGAAGAAGAACATTGATGTCTCCTCTGAGACGGACACCATCGGGTAAGAACTGCAGTCATACGATTGGGACGCTGAGGAACTAAAAAAGCTACTTGAACGAAGCCAAGTTGTAAACCATGCCTATCTACATCACGAGTGAGTGCGGTCATGTTATTCGGACCTTTCGAGATCCGCCGAAGAGAAGACACGCGACAGCCTTTTTGACATCACTGTGACCAAATATCGAAGGTGCAATCATGTTGCATATCTTCGCGTATACATCAGGGCTTCTTGCAAACTCCTTGAATTTTTGCTCCTGAATTAGATACAACCAATGAGTACATACTCGTGTCCAACGAATTACTAAAAATGCGCATCCATTCTGGCTCTAGTAGTGATTAACACTATAGTGACTACGCCGTTTCTCAACAAGATTACCTTGGGAGAAATAAAGAGTCTAAACACGGAAGGCTTGGCTAACAGGATTCACCTGTGCATCGTCGAAGTCCAAAGCACCCCGAGATTTTCCATCAATCGCTTGTTCCAGTCCTAGAACTCTCAAATAAGGTTGTCTGACGGCAACAGCACCTTTTTGCCTGAAGGGTAGAAGGAGCACAGTGGGCTTGTGAGGCGCACATGGAAGATTAACTTCACAATATCGGCTCTGGACATAGAGTATTAATTTTGACATCAACAACACGGGGACCATCTGAGCATTATCGACAAAATAAACGAAATTGGAACTCACGGTCCTGAAGAGCCCCCAGCCTGGTAGATACTGTATATTCCCAACACTGTGACTCGTGTGCCTGGAACAATTTTCTGGACGAGTGTGCGATCCACAGCCAAGAGCATATTTCGAGGCATCTCTCCCGTTGGCACATCCTGCAAGGAATTTTCTTGGCAAGGTCAAAGTTGATCGAATACAGAAGAGACTTAAAAGTATGAGACAAAGAGAACTAGCCTGAATTTGCTAAAAGACTCAAAATACTTAGTCAAATATCTGACTGTGAACTTTGAGTTCACTGCCACATCTCCGCAAGAGGTTGCTTACTAATCACATACAGTCCAGTGAGGACTCATGATCAAACGAAGTCAAAACTTCTGAATTTATTTGGCCTTCTTGAATCTAGCAGAAATACGAACAATTTTAGCTTCATACCTCGGGGTTCTCCTGCAGCTTCAAGGTTTGCTGATCAATATACTTGCTTTTGTCTGGAGCAACTACGAACGGGTCCAAGGGGCAAGGCTCCTCACCTGGCTGCAAAACACCAAGAAAATAACATTATGACCTTGTCAGGTTTGGGTGATATTTCTAACGGTGGCAGCGATTGCCAACTTCAAACTCCTTATATTTGAAACATTGAAACACAGGGCCTTGGCAGCCTTGCTCAAGTCTGGAATGTGAGTCACTCTGCCACTTCTTTAGCCTTTTCAAGCCTATTAAAAAAGTCAGGCAAAGACTTGAAGTTTTTTTATTTTGGTTCAAAAAGTATAAGAAATGGCTAAGTAACATAAGGGTAATGTATTGGATAGCCAATCCTATGAAGATGGTCATATGGGGTTCAACCTGAGTGGGATGATCACAGGTACGAGGCATGATAGCTCCGCCAAGACCAGGTCGACAAGGCACAACCTTGGTACTCTTGCAATTCTTGCAAAGCAGAGTCACTGAAGTGGCCTTGGCCTTAGTCCGCGATGCCGCAATGATTATGCCAGTAATTTTTACGAGTTTCGATATGGAGTCGGCCTGCAAAGACATGATGGCCACAGTCAAAACCATAGGCATTGCGACCTACAGGAATGTCTACGTTTATGTGCTCGAATCAGGACATTTAACGTTCAAAATTAAGGTGATAATAAAAAACAGAACAATGCATGTGATGAGGAACATACAGTGAGGGCGCGGATAGACATGGGATTTTGTTTGGAAGTCAGAAGAACTTGGACATCTCCAGAAGTAGGCTCTTCCATATCTCCTCTGTCACCTGCAACTTTCGCTTTGAGGCCTACGGCAACGTCTGCAGCTGCTGCCTCGAACTGGCCACATCATGTTGGGGACAATTCAGATATGATGAGAGCTCGTGAATTTTCTAGTGGAAGGCATGTGTGACGCAATGCTGGCGACAGTCGACGCGTGACTCAGCTTCCTTCATTCTCCTAGCATGGGACTCATTCGAGTTGAAAGTTGACTCCCTTGCGGAACCCACAGCACTTGACACTGAAGCAAGGATCGACTTACCATAGGCATATACTCGGCCGGATTCTTCCGTATCAAATCACCCATATCCATGTCAAAATTGTCAAGGTCGTCCAAGTTGACAGGAAGGAAACTTGAGTTTTGTAGTAAACTCGCCCTGTTCAAGAAAATATTGCACAGAGAAGATCACACCTCCTGCTAAAGATCTTCGTGTCGATTAGAGCCTAAAATGGGAAAAGCGAGTGGCATCCCGAACACGAAATATCGCACGTCTTCACACTTACCTGTAAGGAAAGTAACCATTCAACTCCCCGTAGCTCCGGATAAACTCCTTGAATTTGCCCTGAACCACCAGCCGATTCGCCACTCCATTGTCCACGGCATTCTGGTCCACCAAATCCTGATCACTGTAAAACACATTCCCTTCGTCCCACCCCGACATCCCCTCGGCTTCTCAAAGACCTCTCCCACAAATCCTGCGAATTCGATCCTCCCTCCAAGAACGTCGGAATGAATTCCCCGGACCCTGCTCCCTTAGCCTTCTTCGAAGCACAGGCGCGCTTGATCCCTCCCAAGAACAGCCCAACAGGCGCTCCTCGGTCCGAAATAAATTGATTGAAATGCTCCTGTCTCCGGAAGATTTGAAACTCAGAGGTTGTCGAGCATTGTTTGCCGAGGGAAGAATGTTGGCAGCGAGGGGAGCAGAGTCGGCAGACAACGATGGAGATGGAGGTGGATGCTCGAGCTCGCCTGGCTCAAACAAATCTGCACACTCGTGCAAATCGGCGGGAAACGATCTGCTGAGGTGGCCGGGGCGGGAAAGTTCAGACGGTGGCCACTGGACTGCGTTCTGTTTTCCCGGGAAAACGTCGACGGCGAGTGCCTTTGCTACATGTGTACCGACAGTTTTCAGTCAACGTGTGATGATACGACAAATTTCTGGAGTATAATATGCATTAAGCATAGTTAAATTGGTAAAAAATGTAGCTCATGAATTTTTGAGTTAATCCCTTGGCTAAAGTTGAGAAATAAGTGATACACTCTTTTCATTGATGTCAATTTGAAAGCCACAAAAATATTAGTCTTTTGTTACCTACTTCTTTGCTTGAATTTGGATCTGTGATTGACATTAGCTACTGCACACAACATGAGGTTTTGAGGCAAAGAATTTATTGCACATTTAAGTCGTTTTTTATAATATTGAGATAGTTATCAATGAAATTTCTAAACATTATCCATATCATTATTTATTACTGTATCGTTGAATTTGATATACTGAAAAAAAAAATTTCGAATGAAATACTAACAGTTCATATCATATGTGATTTAATGCATGTTGATATATGATGATGACGAATAATATTATACATATTTTTTAAATTTTAAAATGATTGAGAATTCTTGTTTGAATTATATGTTGATATGCAAATCCACATACTACAATCTGATTGTTTAAGTTTCAATTTCTGTAACCTATTATTTAAATATTTCAATTTCATTATATGGATGTATGTTTCTAAACGTGTTGATCATTTTTAAAATAATATATATATATATTAGAAAAACTTGAAATTTGAGGTATTTTATTAATGAAACAGAACGTTATGGGGAAAAAATTTGAATTTCTATATTATTATTATAAGTAAAAAAAAATGGAGTATGTCATAAACATTTCACCTTGTCTAAATAATACATATATATTTTTATCAAATATTTAAGTTTGATATTTTGTCCATGAACTTGGAAATCTACAAATTATTCAAAAATATAAGCGATTTCTATTTGTAAACAAATTGTTAAGAATTCTTTCACATTATTTATTTCTCTGCGATGCTAGTGAAGTCTTTACGTGAAACCACTTATGCTTGAGGGCTAAGGTGCTAAGGAAAAAATAACACTCATCGTGTTGAACGAGAACTAAGTTAAGCATTCTTCTGCATCTTGATTATTTGTGTATGAATGTGATATTCGTTGTAATAAAACATGATTTGTTAGTTTTGGGTTAGAGTGTAGTTATCTATGATGTAACTAGGAGTGTGATGCTGGAGAAAAAGCTTGATGATGAATATTTCGCGTTAGTACGTTTGGTGTACGTATCATAAATACAAGTTTGATTTAAACATTCAAAACTTTCGCAAATGTCATAATTGACAATACTACATGATATCGAATATACACAAATTGGGAAAACAACGTCAACCGAGGTCTTCAAATATATACTAATGTAAAAAAACTCAGTTCTATATTTGAGTTATATGAAGCAATATGTGTGGATGTTTGACACGTTATAAATGGTATAACGTATGGAAAATAAATTATCATAATATGCGTCAGGAAAGTTAAACTTGTTAGCTCTTAGTGTGACATATTCTGCTCAACACATTATCGTTGCTCTTTGAAGAAAACTAGGTATTGTTATGAATATCAATGGCTGTTCACAGCTGAATGTCAGTGGAATGCGCTTACAGCTGGTAGAGCTAATTACAAAGTATTTCCGTATGATTAATAAGCGTATGAAATAAGATCAACGACCGATGATGCTGATCAACCTGAAGAAATGTTTGTAAAGAATGATTTAGATCGATAATATCAAAAATCCATCAAATTTTCTGGACATGGAAAAGTGCAGAATTTAAAGAACGTGAATCTAACGATATGTTTGAAGTTATTATTTATTTTTTATGAGAATCAACGACGTCTTGAACGTATTGCAGTGCCTAATAGTTGTTTAGGTTGACCTTTAAGCAAATATTTGTTTGTACCTAATTTTTATTATGAACTACAAGACGTTTAGCAATCATATATAAAACGCTCTTGTAATTGGTTGAGGGAATGACTTTGCCTGTTAATGTAAGTTTAATTCATACCTTATATTTTTTGAATTTGTCATCCTTTATATCTACTTCACACTTGACTCGAAGAAAACGGACAAGATTTTAGTGACGTTGTTTCACAACGCCACTCAAATCTTGTTTCAAAACCAAACATTTTGTACTCCATATATGTTAGTGGATAAAGCAGACAAACAAATTTGATGACTGTGCGTCTCAAAAGGATTCTTGATTGACTTCGAGAAGATCATAACAAACTCTTACCATGAATGTCTGATATAAGAATTCTCTCATCATAGAAATAGTCCTGCTTCTTTAATCCATAGTATTACCTCACTTTAATATAGTTTTCCCGTTATAAATGCTGCAAACAAGTCAACACCAAGGTGCGGGATCTGCGTGCCTTGACACACAAATACTGACGAATTCACTATCTTCACAGTGCTTATTTCACAACCCCCATTTTGCCTTAAGAAGGATGAATCCAACCACACCTTGAATCATGACTTACTTGGATGCTCGAGAAAAGACAGAATTTTAAGTTTCAGGTAGAATCAACAAGTTCAAGACTTGGACCATTTAAAAAATGAACAACGGTCATGAACTGTAAGTTCAACCTCAATAAAATTCACACTTCTGTATCATTGATAGATATATTTCGAGTTAAATCTAAAATAATATAAATATCAAATTTAGGTCAATATTAGAACTAGCAAAATCAATTCAATTTCAAGAATAGTAGACAGAAGCCTTGGGACGGAGCCACTTTCTCACAAGTTGGACTGATAAGCTTCACTTGATAAATCTCTTTGAGACAATCAATGATAGGTGGTACAAATCCCCCATGCTCTGGAAGGCAGATCGGTACCAGCCTATGCATGAATTCCTGAGGTGGAGACGATTTTCAAGAAATATGGAGACCACTAACACATTGCATATTTCAGCCCAATCCCAAGAAGTTATTGCAAATTTCTGAGTTTTAGACCAGAACGAGAAACCCATAACCCAGTGAATATTGAAATGACAAGAGTATCTAATGGATCATACTTTAATCAACTCTATGGAACTGGCATCCTCGGTCATAAAGCTCAAATAGCAATCAGTAATAAAACCAGCTTACTACAGTATACAAATCTTTTTGCGATGTTCTAAAAAAGGCGAAGCCACTGTTGATCTCCAATGTGAGACTATTGGGGCCTCCAATTACCAGGTTTCATCCTTGTACGGCTTGATGGGGTCTTCCCATCCTTTTTCTATTCCCTTGGCTACTCTTTGATCTCCTAACCTTTTCACGTTCGCAGGCTTTTCACTTCTGCCAAGAGATTTGCAGAACAAGTGCCAAACTTTGACAAGCGCCAAAAGCATGACAAAATCCAGAAACAGATTGCTCCCCTGCATCTCTCTCACAAGCTCTTGACATTTGTACAATGCACCGAGAGCCGTTGAGCACCAAAATTTTATACAGGCTTCAAGTGATAAGTCAGTACGTCATTCCCCTCAACATTTTATGCAGCATAATAGATTTTTATAGGTGAACAGCTCTAATCTATGTGCTTCACCTCAGCTCTAATTGGGTGGCCAGAAACCAGTTTCCAAGGTTCAAGAAGATATATACTACTGATGTGAAACAAATCCCCGATAAGTGCAACCGACAAGTATTGGAGAATAAGTGGGCACACTTGCAGAATACTTACCGTCTTATATGTAATTTTGTCTGATTAGAGCCCTTTTTTTCCACAATGCCAAAATTTTTCTCAACTTTTACACCTTTTTCACGCCAAATCAACACACTGTTTGTGGGGTAAGTCACAGGATTTAGAGTGATTATCCCGATATTTCTTGCAAGGAAAGCTAGACGATCCTTGTCCGGGTATCCGCCTTCTCCAAGGAGGGGGTTTAACTGTTTTGGAGCACTATGATTGTCGTGATAATTCGTCTCTCAATGTTTTAGAGCACAATATAGCCCGGTGACATTCCTCACACACGCTTGAGAGCTATGAATCACACACATTAAATTTAGATCCCAGAGATCTGGATATCGTGGGGCTCTGACTATAATTTATGAGCATCACCTCCATGAAGAACTTATTGGAGTTCAGTGGAATACTTTCCGTGGAAATTCAAAGCTGCTGTTCTTCACAGCTTTTCAGATCATATTTCAAGTTTTAGGTGTGAAACGATCATTAAAGTCTCAATGTCCTATTCTGCAGAGGGGACGCTTGTATCAATCTACCAACGAGATGATGAGGATAATCACTACACACTAGGAAATTTTACTTCGTTAGAATGTGATGTCATCCAAGCGTTATTTACCAGCACTTATATGTTCCACTTCCCCGTTCTTCCGAAGTGTCCCGATAATGCGTTCACATCAGTTACTTCGGTGTTCCTCGACTTCTGCAGACTTTTCTGGACAAATCAATCAATGTTCCCAGCATATCCCAACTAATGACTTCTAAAGTGAATATATTGCCAGAGTTGGAGGGACTTACATGGATGAAGTTATTTGATCCAAACTTGCCAACGCAAGGCAGTATAGCTCTGCGCTAGCACCATCACTTCGTACTCAACTTACGTCGATTGCCCAACTCATCTTGGAACTCAAATAGCATGCACATCCCAGTGATAACTATACAAATATGTGGCAGACATCTATGGAGGAGACAGCTTGCAAACATTAGCGGGAACGACTTCTAATTGTGACTGTATAGGTGGCATTGGAGAAATCTGGTATTTGCTGTACGCCTGTACAAGACTGAAGTCTCCCATAAAGGCTACGAGTTTTCTGACTTTGCGTGGGCCGATCATACAAAAACCGATTTCCCTCGGATCATGGAGTATTTCAGAAGTAATACGAACAAATTTACACCTTTGAAAAACATTCACTCCCTAATCAAAACTTACTTTCGAGTGTCAAAATTTAAACACTAGAATACGAACAAGAGCGGGCATGGAAACGAACTGAGGGCCACGAGTGGCTAGACTGAGGATAATGGAAGCACATTTTGAGGTGAGAAATAATCAGATTGACAGCTGTAGAATAGGCCCAAGAACAGTACCAGTTACGTTTATATCTGGGAGTTCTGCGTGCGAAGACCATCTTGAGAGGTATATCTGACACTTGGGCCACATAATCAGAACGAGGTCTACTCTTTCTTCCACCCACTTCGTCTCAGCCAGAATCGTTCCGTTTGTAGATTCCTTAGTTGAGTTATCTAGCTCGACTTTGACAGCTCCATTTCACATTGTACCACGCACGAGTTCTGTTGATTGGTCATGTGCCGAGGCCGCTTTGGAGACTTTAGGAAACTGCCATGCTTTCCTGCTCTTAAAGGTGAGGACTTCTTCCAATTTTCAAGAGCTATAAGCCTTGGACGAATTCTGCTAGAGATCCGCAAATGGATGTGGAATTTCGGGCGGGCAAAAGACATGCATAATACAGAACGAACACTACGACACACATTCTGCAAGCACCGAATCATTCTTGCGAATTGCTCTTCCGCAGGCCGACAAGTGCCGTCTTGACTCATTTGTTACCGCGTACCCAGGTCCAGTAAACACCGTAAAGTGTTGCGCATCAAGGCTCCACCACTGACATCATGGGCCCGTTGAACTAATTTCCTTTCACCGCTGACCTCATGCGCCTCGTTGAACTCTTTCTTATTCGACAATCACAACGATCTATACTTCTCGAACGGCTTGCTGTCGTATCACTCTCAAGCCCAGCTTCAGTTCATCGGTACGAAAGTCGAACAGAGGAACTAAAACAACCGGAAGCAATCATCAAAGAATCACATGAGGCCAAACCAACTAAAATAACGGAGAAATAACCAGCCGAAAGCAAGAAAGCGATGGAACCGTATGTACTGCGGAGGAGCAAGAGCGTGCGCAAATGCGGGCTAAAAACCGCAGGAGCTTTGACGAATACGCAGGGTTTGTCCACACGTCCACGAGTCTGGTAGTCTTCCATGGACTCGGTGGAAACAGAATCCCGAGAAGCAGCAGCGGAAGTGAGATCGGACCAACCGCGACAGGTGAGTTTCAAGAACTTACTCGAAGGCGGGGAAAACGAAATTTATCAGGAAACTTATGGAGGAAGATACAGACATGAGAGCAAAAGCAGATGCTGTAGGTGCCGGATCGGAAGACACCTGCACATTTTGTCTCGAGCTGGTCGCACGAAAGAGGCCAGTTTGACTGACGCAAGAAAACAAAACACGAGATCGTTTACTTCAACGCGAAGACTTCTTGTTCGCCCATAAAGAAACCGGGCAGAGGAACCGCAAACGAGAGCGGGACGGCGAATAGAGAATGCAATTCGGAGGAGGAGGAGGCGAGAAAAGGTGCCGCCGAAGAAGTCATTACAAGTAGAACAAAAGAGGGGAATGACAATAAATGCATTTCTTATTGACATTTGAATGTTGCGGTTTCCGCTCGAGCGTCGACTCGCCTTACCCTTGCAAGCCTTCTTGTTCTTGTGGCGAGTTACCCCACGTTTCAGGTCATTGGGCGATGTCGTAATATCTGCAGATATTGCTTTGACTCCGCTGAATGAGGTCGAGAGAAGTCTCTCGCTTGACCTCGATTTGGACGTCTCGGCCGCCTCTGAACTACAGTACAGTATATGCACACTGTGACCTACTTATCCAGAACATGTGTTGGTTTACGTGGCACCGGTAGAAGCCGGTGAGCCTGTGATGCTTTTGTCACCAATTTTCCTGATTAATTTGACAGGAGGACAAAGATTAGAGCAATGTTACAACCTTGGTACAGCTGGGGAATGATGGGATAAATAAATGGTGGAGGAGTGGAGTCTGTTTTTATGAAGTATTTGATAGTACTGTAATTGAATTTGATAGATTGAAAGTTCGTCTGAGTAGTGTGTATTTAGGGGTGATTATGGTTATGTATGTGCTCCACCTTGCAGTCAGATAATGGCCAGTGATTTCATTTCATTCAATAGAAAAATTCATGATTACGTTAGTATCATAGTCTTTGGTTGCTTTTGGTTCCTTCCTGTCGCTTTCAATCACTTTCCTTCGAGTTTCATGTTTCCACCGAGCAGAACTTTTTTAACAACCCTGTTACATTCAAAATCGAATTGTTTCAAGAACGTGTGTCATTCTATTTAAAGTAAAAGACTTATAAAGTGCTCTATTTCACTGCTTATTTGTTTCACTCGACACGTCGGCTCGCAGCTTCGTCAGATGCGCGTATATCGTTTGTGCAAACAGGATTCATTTGTATTCTAGGTGTCCCAATGCAGGCTCAAAAACGTCTTTTTCTATAAAATTTCAATCTTGAACAAATGTAAGATTCACATTCTTTAACAGAGATTTCATCATCTATTGTATGCATTGTCCTTTGAAGATAAAACATTATATATTATATTTATACTCTTTGCCATCAATTCAAATAGATTATGATCACTTCATTATTGAATTAACATTTTCCACATGGTTTACAATGTCTTTGTCTTGTGATCTGACCATTCCTTAGGTAATTATCATGCATCAAAATATTATGACTTACAATAATTACTTTGTAATCATCCATGAATAGTGTGTTTCATCAATTTATAGTTTTTGTATTCAATTATTAAATATGTATTTTCCTGCATCAAGTTCTACATCCTTTATTGAGAGTAAAACTGATAGCTTTCTACCATTATTAAGGCACAAGAGGTTGTCAACGTGCTTTGTAGTCGACTGAGTTAAGCCATATTTTTAAGAAGTTAGTAAAGATAATTTTATTGTTGCAAAAATTGTAACAAAATTATGTATCCTATTAATGAATTGTTTTTTGTAAGAAATGATGACCTATAAGTATATATGATAAAGGTAGCAATGATGATCGACTATTTTGAATAAAAAAATATGAAAAAGAATTATTATTATCAATTAAGTTGAGTTTTGAGTTAAAGCAAATATGGATGCGCCAAGTAATGCCGGTGTGGAAAAAACGCAGAGTCAATAGGCTATTTCAAATATTCTCAACAAAAATTCAATCATTTGAAGGTTGTCTCATGATTTATCTGGTCGAGAGATGGAACCAAATAATTTGGTAGGAATGCGGAGACAACTTGTCAATTTTTATAGGGTATGAACACAAAGTTATAATATGATGCTAGATCTCATTAGCATAACAAACAAAACCATGTATTATGCAACTAAGATGTATGAACGATTTTAGTGAAATGTTTTTACTTCACGAGAGTGTCCAAAGACAGAAATACTCATGTGATTACTATTATATTGGATTTCAAGCTACTACTCTATATATAGTATTGATTACAAATCAATCAAGAAAAATGATGACATTCAAAAGTCAACTACGGTAGTTTCCCTCAAATGTCAAATTTGAAATGATAACACATGTGGCGAATGCAGCGTTCACACATTTTTCGTATGGCAATCATTTATTACGACAATAGAAATTTGTGACTGAATTTGTAAAAAAATCCCACACTAAGGAAAACAAACCGATCACGCTCTCCCATCGTTTAGAATATAAGGGCAAAAGTCACTTCCAATTTGTCTGCAAGCAGAGCATGTAGAGGAACTACATATTCAGTTACGGCCATAACGAACGCCAAAAGCCAGGCTCAGAAGTCATAGTGCGTGAATTGTTTGACTTGGGTGGCCAAAAACCCCAAAACAGTATGCTCCGACATGCCCTGGTATTTCGGGAGGCTTCTCTCCCCGCAGCAGGAGGGAGGTTATGAGTGAAGCGCGGACGGTCCGCATGCGGAGAACTTGTTTCGGAGATGCTGGTGGCTGGGAACGTGTCGATTTCAGTGCGATGGGATGATCGTTTGTTCGGTGTGTGTCCGGTCCTTTCTAACCTGGGTCCGTACACGAGTTAAGTGTCCAATGAACCGTGGTTGGAGTTATCTTCTTCTTGTGAAGCTCGTTCAATGGCTTCCCGTTGTTGGTTAATGTCTGGGCTGTCGACATACTGCAGGCCGCGATAAGCTTTCAGAGGTAAGAAGCGGACCTACTCTGTGTACCTTTCTGCTGGCAGTCGAACCGTCGATGCAAAATCGGCTCCGTGTATCGGGGCTCGAGAACTGAAATGTTAACATCCTCTCCCTTCCTCTCATCGACATCTTCTTCATCAACACAGGGCTTGAACATGACCAGTGTTCAGTAAACATTATAATTGGGGTTGTAACAGCGTTCTTCCATGATATAAGTGTTCAGACGAAATTATTTCACTTAAATGTCAAGAGCACGGGAAGTAGGAGTTTAGGACATACCTTTCTCCAAAACTATTGTAAATATGAACATCAAACATATTTTAATATTTTAACATGAAAATAAATCACAAGCATATGCAATGTTTATCATTTATACCGTGTATATTTTATAAATAATCTATACGTTTTTTCAAAGCTTCTAGAAAAATTCATTTATACACTACGTGAATTCTTGTTATTTAAAGATCATGAATGCTACATTGAAAGTTTGGCTTAAACTTCTCGAGGTAATGCAAACGATAAAACTCAGAATAGACCATCAGCATTCAATTTACGCCATCAATTTTTGCGAGGCTATGTCTACAAGTATACAAAGTTTTACTTATAAAAAACTACTATATGGCTTATAGACCTTGAACCAGTTTGTTTTATATCGCAGTAGCTAACATTGTTAAACTAACAACTGTGAATGAAAATATGAAGTTAAATTCAAGAAATACAATGTGTAAATACCAAAATATCATTTTCCAATAAAACAAAAAATAAATAGTGATATAACTTGATAACCTAATCATATTAAACTTGGATGATATATTAGATATATTTTAGATAATATAGAAATTTATAGTTATTAAATACACTCATTAACATTCTGAAAATACTTCAGAATAATTTGACTAGGATTCAAATGCAAATTTTGTGGAACTTCATATTAATTTTCAGATCAATAACTTAAATTTTATATTTTGTTTATTTGGTGAAATACTGCAAGTTATGGCATTCCAGTCTTATTTTTCCTCGACATATAATTAATATAAATTTTATAAAAAAATTGGCATGATATTAGATGTCAGATGAAAATGGATAACTGTAGTTCCATTCACAAAATTATTTTAAAAGAATTGTTTTACTACGAGGTATTTCTCTACAGTTATCAGAATGAAATTATTTCTTAGAGCATGGAAGTATATATGCACATTTAACAATGTAACTCCATATGTAGATTGCTTGGATATCAATATTTGATTTCTAACATGACAAGATTTTAAAAATTTTTGGGAGCAAATGTTAGCAGATTTTAGATAACATTTTGGAAAGAAATCCGTATGACATATATCATTGCAAGCTTTAACGAAACAGTGGTTCACATCACAGATAATAATTCGGTAATTATATTCACATTTAGAAAAAACGCTTGATAGTTCTATTAAAACAATATATGCAAAAATAAGTTTCTTAAAATTTTCTTAAACAAAAAATATTTGTTCTTCATTTTTAGATAAATACACAGATTGTGAAAACGAGGTCTATTTTAATTGCATTTGTTTGTCATGCAATTTTTGAGCATACAATATAGAAAGTCATTCACAAAGCCGAGTCTAACAAATGGACAAACTCGTATTGCACGTAGAAAACTATGTTGGAGCGAGTGTAAAAGTCAAACGAGTCTCCATGAAAACATTGAAAAAACTTATAGAGATAATCGGAAACAAATAACTAGAAGAATAAACCAACAGATAGAACGCACATTTGTGGCGATGACTTTCATAATTCGTAAGAACTCATTTACTTTGTTCCATCCGGATATATGCTGAAAACAATGTCAATACTCCGTGAGCTCAAACAAGAACAACAAGCTATTAATAAACCGACTAGTTTGTACTCTACCTGAAGATGTTTGGTCTCTTGTTCTTGTTTGAACGAAGAAGCCAGTCGTGGTGACAAACGGCTGCATAGACTCGCAATCAATCGCAAGACTTCGTCACGACAGATGGGATGGCTTTTGAACACGGAACGTGATGAAGGTGAAAAGCGGAAAAGCGAAGTGCGAGTACGGTAACTGGGTGAAACACGCACTTAATAGTGTCGAGCGCAGCATGCAATAAGAAGAAGCCGATGGCACACGGAAAAATGCACCATTGGGCAGCGAACGAGGAAAGCTGGTTCAGAGATGCCCATGTTAGAATTTCAAACGGTGATGATTGTGCTAATCCCTCCTGGAGGAGGGACCCTTCATAAAGTCAAAGAGATCTTTGTCCTATCGTGGTTGTGTTTTTCCCACCTTTCGCTCTAATTCGGTCAAAGGGTGCGTCGAGCGAGGCGAGGCGAGGCGAGGCCAGGGCAAGGCAAAGGCAAGGGCAAGGGCAAGGCAAAGTTAAGCGAACTATTTCGTCAACAGGAGGCAGCGCGAGCGAGAGCCCCCAGAGATAGGGGGCAAGCGTCCGAGCGGTCCGAGGCAAGAGGAGGCAGGGGAGGAGGCGAGACTAATAAGAGGGCGCTGGAGAGGATGAGCGAGACGAAATGACCGGGCTGCGGTCCCATGGAGGAGCGCCGGGGCGAGGTCGCGGCGAGGCCGAGGAGGGAGGGATTAAAAGATGAGGCATTTTGGCTAGGTTTGGGCCCGCGGGGGTCGGGCGAGGGAGGAGGAGGAGGAGGAGGGCGAGGGCTAATTTCGCGATTTGTCGAGCATTACCGGGAAGAGCATGGCGAGGTTTGGGCAATAAAAGCGGAATATTAAGTGCGGAATATATGGCTCCTCATAACTTTCAATCAGTAAGAATCTTGACCGCGAACCTACTAGGGGTTTCAGACATCCGCCTTTTCCGAGGAGTTGTTCGCACAAGAGTTACTGCAGACAAGCGTCTGGATGCGGAGCGAGACCTCTGATTGAGTTGGTTGCCAAGTTGGTAGCTGTTAGTTGGCGAGGTGTCAAGGGATGTGGGATAGATCGCACTTTTGAGTACAGTGCTCAACTAGTCCTCGAAGACCTGTGCCGCGTTGATCAAAAGCTGCTTCGTGTATTCTTCACTTCGAGAGCAGAAGTGAAGAATACACGAAGACGTAGACTGGTCCTTCAAGGTCTACATATGTCGTTCTATATGTAGACCTCGAAGCTCAAACCTAACGTGTGACCGATCAGGTTTTCTCTAACCTGATCGGTCGTCCCTCAAGTAGTGAGAGAATCGAGCAGGGATTGTTGTGTCGAGCTGTCGGTCTAACCTCGAGGGAAAGCCCGGACAATCTTGGTTGGAAATGCCGTTAAGCAACAACGTATGTAAGCTGCATAAATCGTTTCGGCTTGCGTTCTAGGTCTCGAGCAATGTTTGCGTTCGCGTGCCGAAGATCTGTGTGTCTGACTGGCGTGGTGATTTTTGAAATGGCAGGTTGAGACTGCAGCCTGCTACTGCGGTGTGGACGCAGGTTTGGCCGTGGGCGCCCGGAAGTTTGTACCGACTGTAGGCCACTGCGTCCGCCCGGACATAAAATCCGCTATAGTTCTGCCGAAGAGCAAACCTTCGAAAGGGGATCGTCACAAATTGCCATCCGAGCTCCTGCCGGGGCTTCCCGATGATCTAGCTATCGCCTGCCTAATCAGAGTTCCTCGGATACACCACAGGAAGTTGAGGATCGTTTGCAAACGATGGTATCGTCTCCTTGCGGGCAACTACTTTTACTCCCTCCGCAGCCGCTTGGGTATGGCTGAGGAATGGATATATGTCATCAAGCGCGATCGGGATGGACGCATTTCATGGCACGCATTTGACCCTCGGCATCAGCAATGGCAACCTCTGCCTCCGGTTCCTGTGGAGTACGGCGAAGCGCTCGGTTTCGGGTGTGCCGTTCTCAGCGGGTGCCACCTCTATCTGTTTGGCGGTAAGGACCCCATGAAGGGCTCCATGAGACGCGTAGTGTATTATAGTGCTCGCACCAACAAGTGGCATCGAGCCCCCGATATGCAAAGGCGGCGTCATTTCTTTGGGTGTTGTGTCATAAATAACTGCCTCTACGTCGCTGGCGGGGAATGTGAGGGGATTCACCGTTCTCTCAGATCAGCCGAAGTTTATGATCCTAACAAGGCCAAGTGGTCTTTTATATCGGAGATGAGCACTGCCATGGTGCCGTTCATTGGCGTCGTATACGGCGGAAGATGGTTTTTGAAGGGTCTTGGTTCTCATAGGCAAGTGATGAGCGAAGTATACGTTCCGGCGACCAATCACTGGTCTCCTATCATAGATGGCATGGTCGCGGGATGGAGAAATCCGAGTGCGTCTCTGAATGGCGAATTGTATGCCTTGGACTGCCGAGACGGGTGCAAGCTCCGCATGTATGATCGAACTAGTGATGCATGGAGCCGGTCTGTCGACAGTAGGCTTCATTTAGGAAACTCACGAGCAATGGAAGCAGCTGCCTTGTTGCCTCTCGGAGGGAAACTTTGCGTTATTCGAAATAATATGAGCATCACTCTGGTGGATGTAGCCAAGGCAGATGACCCTACTAGACAGACGCATCTGTGGGAGACGATTGCAGGAAAAGGGCAGTTTATGACTTTTGTTACCAACTTATGGTCGAACTTGGCCGGTCGAAACCGTCTAAAGAGCCACATTGTACACTGCCAAGTTCTTCAAGCGTAACCCATAGCTGTACCATTCTTCCAATTCTTTGCCTTCGCACTTTAAAAGTTACATCGGTTATGCTGAGATCGAGGCAGCTATGCCTTTCCTAGGAGGGGAATATGCCAATCATGCGCAAGATTCAGGTTTTTTTTGTACGTATGCCTATACTCATGTATGGATTGGGCAGAATAGTCCAAGATTCTATAACATCTAACAAAAGTTTTGTAATTATCCCTATCCCAGTTGTAACCTCAGCAGTAGTTCCCCTGCAGTCCGAGTTCAGAGATCTAGCGTTTGGAAGCTTTACTGTGTTGTGACGAGCGAACAGTCACTCTTCCTTTTTTGTCTAGGAAGCTTGCAAAGTTGAGATCTTTGTACCATTACAATGCAGCTCTATTTGCAATATCATTCAGCTGCTGGCCCAGGACTATGATGCCCACGGCATCTCAAAGGTCAAGGCCACCTCATATCATTCAAAGTGAGAAATTGAAGGTCTTGTAATACTGATGGTGTCACTCTTCATTTCTGGCGTGGGTTTCGTGTGAATTCAAATATTTTTTGCGAGTGATGCTGTTGGCCCCTGTATGTGCCAGGTTTTTGCTTCTTCCAGGGTCTGTGGATGAACACTCCACTTAAACATCAGCAAGCGTTTTAGATTCACTGGCTGCCCTTGGGGCGGAGCGTACACTTTCGTCGTCGTGATATGTTGGTGGTTAATTTGATTCTTGGACGTTAATTGAGCAGGTCCGTTGGGGTTCAGGCAGGAAATAGTCCTCTATGAGATTCTAGCCAATGTACTACAGCAACCTTTAGAAGGTGAGAGTTTTCCCCGGAACTGTGCTCACACTTGATTCCGTTCATTGACCCAGACGTGTCAGGCTTGAAGAACATCGACTGTAACACTCTCGGTTCGACTCAACATTAAATGCTGACATGCCCTGAAGACAATAGAGGTAACACGGTGCTAGCAGCAACAGACTTGGAAGAATAAAAAGTTACACTGGATGATCGGGGAGGCGGAAGGGAGAGGAGGATTGTGTGAGAGTTCAGAGCGTCTGGCTTGTAGGAATATTTCTCCCTAACGATCAGTTTCCCTCGGAGCTTCCAGATGTCAACCAAGAAAGCCCTCAGTAGCCCATCCACCTGTACCTTCTCTATTGTCGTGAAGATGTTAATTTGAGAGCAGCAGTTTCGGGCTTTGAAGCGAGGCCTGTAGACTCTGAGCATGTTTCTGGTTCTACCAGCTCAGCGAGGTTGTATTTGAATGTCGTTCTCTTTTTTCAAAACTTCAAGAACATCCTTCTATTAATGCCATTCTCTCAAGATGCTCATTTAACCAGATTGTGGACAGGAGTGAGTTCGCACTCTATTCCACCCAGAGTGCAAGTAGCGGGGTGGATTCCTACCTTCCTCCTCTTGTGGTCGAGAGGATAACCTGTCCGGAATGTAGGCCGAGAACCCGGAAGATAGTCCTTGATTATCACGCGTTCAGGGTGCATCGTGGACACGCAGAGCTCATGATTAGATTCCTCCCTTCTGGCACATTTTGTCCCCAATATTTCTTCCCGACACTTTCATGTCTGAATGCCCCATCTCTTTTTCCCACAATCTAGTTCCGAGAGTAGGTTTGTGCTCTTCACTGAATCACGCACCTGACCCTCAGAGACCTTAGATAGTGTCCTCGGCCTTTTGCGAGTCCATATAGCATCCAGTAGAATCAAGAAGTACCATTGAGATAGCTGAGGTGAAACTGCCTCCTCCACTTCAGCCTGCCAGTGTATCTGCAAACTTCAAGGGGAGTCACTAGGAAGGAAGACTCTCAAGGGAAGATATTCAATCGTTTTCCCAGACTCTTGACAAATTGTCGATCGGTTTTCGCTCTTTTGTTTTGGGTTCGTTCACCTTTGGGTCGGTATCCCGGACTGTGAAATATGAAAGTACCTCACCCAAGGGGTTCTTGGCCCGAGTAAATTGCAGACTGTGAATGTGACGACAGTTTCAGACAAGGGTTTGTGGCGATAACTGGAAGTGAAGAGAGCTTGCAAGGTATCTTCTGTTTGATCCCTTCGCTACCAATACGCCTTCATTCTTCTTCCTAGGGTTTGATCTCTGGTTCAACAGTCACACCCTCAGCACCGAGCCATATGCCTCAGGTCGTTGTACTGGGGTTACATCTCTTGTGCCTTCGAGTCTATAAAACAGGCGCAGAGCGTCAACATCCGTGCACCCTTACGACTAACCCGTCTCGATGAGACTTGCATATATTCTTGCACAGCGACCCAGGGCCTGTCGAGAAACCGGTTTTCCATCTCTGGTCGGTCCTTGTCTTTTTGCCTCACATTAATTTTTGCACGGTATCCCAGAGTCTGCTTGCTTGCCGGGAGGTGAATTTCACATCATCGGTTCCGATCGCAGACAGGATTAGTTAGTTCTGGAGCAGATTTCAGTCTCTGATTTGAGCCCTTTGAAGGGTAAGTAGCCCATTTCGATGGTCACGGGGCAACGGTATCTGACGATGTTATGGTTATGTTCTCTGGATGTCTGGCCATATAAGGTAAGTTATTTGTGTCACGACGGTGCGGAATCAGTAAACCACAACTGGCAATGTGTAGGAAGCAGCTTACAGACGCAGATCCTTCTGTTTTCTGGGGAACTGTTTTCTGAACAGGAATCACACAGCCTGTCCAGGCTGGATAGTAAAGGAAGCGGGTTCATCTCGATTGCATTTCATTATTACCACTTATTGAAGGAGTCCTTTTATGCTCACGCCTGAGACTGAAGCTTTTCCTTTTCGCGCTTTAGATGATGCCTCAGTGTAAAAACCTGATAACGTGAAACCCGGATCGACCTTTACTTTTTGAGCCCCGGTATGTTGCCAGGTCCACCACAATTGGCGTGCAGTTTGCAGAAAGATGACTTTGCTCTTTAAGTCATAACCCGCTTTTGCATGATAAGTCGTTTTATTACACCGTTATTGCAGAATGTGTAGCCAAACATACCATTAAATCTTCAGACCAAGAAAGTGACCATTCTACCTATAAGGTTTCTTTCGTTTCATCGCTTAATGGCCGAGGACGGAACCAAACAGCACTGCACCGCATACCACTTCAGTTTTCACCGTTCTTGAAAGACGTAAAGGATATGGCATCTGGACTGATGACTCAACAGATCCGTGCGAAAACGCCGCAGCAGAAACTCTACCCCAAGAAGTGCACGTCAGACAGGAGACCGAGATCATCGTCCATCCGAAGCAGATACGCTTACCAGAGCACGACGTGTAAGGTATTACGTACAGCACGGGACCATGGCCCACTACAGAGGACCTCCCTGCGTGCGTCAACCTAATGCATCGACGTTAAGCTCGCTCGCCGAATGCTGCGAAACTCGAAAGAGACTTTGATCGGCTTTTACCCGACAGCGAAAGTACAGAACAGTACCTGGACTGTACCGTAATCTGTCGAAAACACTGGAACAGGATTGACACCATTTTTCCGAAGAAAGCTCGAAGGCCCGGCAAAGAGCAAACGCCAAAAGCAGGAAGACAGCACAAGGCTGCAGGTCTACGTAGACGTCGAAGCAGCGCTCCGATAAAAGAGGCAGGATTTCCTCCATCGGCCTCGATGTGCGGTCCGATGGGCGCTCCCTTCCCCTCGTCCTCCTCGTTCGTTTGAATCGGATGCCCTCCTGCTGATTGGGCCCGGAGATGAGCAGCGCCCCACTCTTCTGAAGTCCTCCTTCCCGCCAGATATGTCCGGTCACGTGGTTTCTCGTATACGTGTACCTTACAGGGCACAAGAGTACAGGCCCAGATCCACGTACTCTACATGGACTGTACAGTACATCTATCCATCCTGACTTAGGTTACGCTTTCCTCTTTGACCTTCGATCGTCCCCTCCATAGCAAGACTTGACTTTGGCATTTGGTTTTTTTTATATTAAGTATTTTCTTCTGGTCGGGACTATTATGGACGGCTCAGATTCCACGGTTTGCGCTTTATTCAACCCGGTCGAGATGTCGACCACAGTCGGTGGCTACGGCGTATCCATGCCACGTGGTTCGAGTCGGGCTGTCTCCCGCGCTTTTTCTCCGAGCTGCTTGCGAATGAGTCGAGGAGCTCGAGTGCCTCGAGAATCATCGGCAGTGTGTGCGAAATTGATCCAATTTACGATCGACTGGTAGATTCTGAGTCTCGTGTTCTGCATATGATGGCAATAGCGAAGTGTGGGGTAGTATTGCGTGCACTGCATTGGTTTTCATCACGCGGAGAAGCCGCACAGACCGCGTAGGATGATCAGACTTCCAAGTAGCGCTTCGGGGGACGATGCTTGCAACAGCTTCGAGCGATTTGAGTGCCTCGGTGTACCAGCTTGGGAATCGATGTTGGTGCAGTGCGTAGACTCGAATTTCTGATTCGTGGGCTTATCGACCGGGAAGAACACATTTCTGCTTTGTGCGCGGGTCAAAGGGAACACTGCACATGTCAGACCATATGTGGTGAAGAAAGGAAGACAAGAGCATGGGATTTCAGAGAAAAGGAGGAGGAAAATGGGTAGGAAGTGGTCGTGGTCGGGGGCAAGGGGATGGAGTGAAAAAAAATTGGTCAGGAGGTGGTAGGGGAACTCCCAACGATTCTCTCAGTGGCAAAGATCGGATCCGGAAAACTGGAAGGTCCAAGGTTTGGCGAACGGCAGAGGATGCTCTTGAAGCGAAGTTCGGATTCGATGTCTTCGCCGAGGGGGAGCCCCGTCTGGGGTGGCTTCTCAATATGGCTGCGGTGTGTTTGAACTTTTGTATACAGCCTGATTGTGCGCTTCCATAATCTTCTTTTTTTGCATTTTGAAATTGTTTTTACTATGACGTCTTAGACTTCTCTCATGTCGTCTAACATGGTTTGAACCGATCTGGCTCTCTGATGAATTTGACATTTTTTTTTATGGCCGTCAGTCGTCCATGCAAGATTCGGAGGATGATTCCAAGACTTTCAGCTGTGTTAATCTCTACTTCATGTGTCAGGTAAGCAGTATACGAGCTGCAGATTATGATGGTATCTGGAAAAATATGGAATGTAAACTTTTTGAGTTGAAATTAGAGTGATATCAAAAGATTTTGCATTCCAATTTGAAAGTATTTCCGTTTGATGTCATTGTCACAGGAAATACCTAACCGATGTTGACGAGGAAAGAAAGTCGATTTGCACAATGAATTCATTTATTTGGCGTCAACAATTCGAGGATGTTGTATGCATACACATTTTCCAGCAATTTGCTTGTGTTGTGAAGTCTTGAGATCACGAGATAACCATCACTTTTTGCCCACCACCTGAGCAAAGGCTTGTGTGTTTGATGTAGGATGGTTCAACTTTTAAATCTCAAGTCAAGTTTCAGCCTTACTTTTATCTCGGCACCAAGGTTCGGCTCAATTCCGATACCATTCTTAGCTCGAAGATCGCGTTGTCGTGAGAGGTCACCGACAGATTGCTTGCTTCACAAGACGCTAACCTTCGCTTATCGTCGTAAAATTATTTTTCAGGCCACCCCTGTCGAAATAAATTGTCCACACGCCTGACCGTTGTATTGTTTCTAAGCTCGAATAATAATCTCACTAAAAACTTTCCAGGAAAATACGGAGCTCGAAGTTGACGCATACTTGCGACGGCGCTATGAGGGTCAGATAGCATCAATCCAGATTGTGGAAAAGGAGGATCTTGATATGGTAATCATTTGTACTTTCATTAGTTACTAAAGATTTATCTTCTAATCTGCTTACGAGCTCAATCAGAGCATGACTCATGATCCTTCACTGACAAGAATTGGATACTGCAGAAAAATCATCTATCAGGAACTCGTCACACTTTTTTAAAGGTCAGCTTCAATAACGTGCAAGAATTGATGTCTGTCAAGAGCGAGCTACTTCCCATCGTAGAACGTAATCAGGCAAAGGTTGAAGCTGCTCAAGCATACAATACCTTATTTCAGGGCATGAGGTAATTCTCGTTGTTGTACTCAACTTTCATTGTGATACACCATAAAGAACCTGGTAGGTCGAATGTAGTAATTTAAACAAACTTCTGTAAGGTTGTTTCAAAGTTGTCGAGCGGAATGTTTGCATCATACATACATCAACTCTTTCAGTAACTTTCAGAAGTGTTGTTAAGCTTGGATGGATCTTCCTGTAACAGGGGTGGTTTACAAGAGACCTCAAAAGTACAGGACTTCGTGGATTACATGTTAGAAGTGCGAGAATTTGATGTTCCTTATCATGTTCGATTCGCCATCGACAAGGGTAACTTTCTCAATTTCTCTGTTCCCTAGTAGTCTTTATTGTCTAAATGCGTTCGATGATTGTACGTAAGAATTTATGTAAGCCTGAAAGTAACCAAGTTTGACCCTCACCCCTTTGGATATATTGTAATAAGTAGGCTCCTTAACCGACTCGTAGTACACGGATAAGATGACTGAGTAGTCAACCAAGACTTACAGACAGTTCCCAACGTTTTTTTGCTTATTGGAGTCACCAGTATAATAATAATTACGAGTGTGATGTATTATTGCAGATGTGCGATGTGGGCTGTGGTACACCGTGACTGTGGAGTCTAACAAAGTCAAACTGGAAAAGCGAGCTGATTTGCTGCAACGAGCAGAGGCCCGTATTTGTGCATTTGATATTGAGACAACCAAGCTTCCTCTGAAGTTTCCAGATGCATCCTACGACAGCGTGATGATGATCTCGTACATGATCGATGGTCAAGGATACCTAATCGTAAACAGAGAGGTATTTACTTGTTTGTTACGTAGGACGTCATGTCAGTCTTCCTGTTCTTCAGTTTAGTTTCTTTATTTTATTCTACGCCGACGAATTGTAAGTTAATTATGAAAAACCTCATGAGGACCCTGCTAGCAACAATCGACTGACTTTCTATGCTTCTGCCGTGTCTTGTGCAGTGTGTAGGCGAAGATATTCAAGACCTAGAGTATACACCAAAACCGGAATACGAAGGGTTTTTCCAAGTGACAAATGCGCCAAACGAGGTGAGTTGGATATCTCCTGAGCTCTTCTTTGGTGCTTCAAGCAATTTGTTCTGCTGTGGCTGTGTCGTGTTCAAAAGATATAAGACAGTTGTCATGGCTCAGTATGATACCACACTGTTCATAGCTGGCCAGAAGTACTTGATCACCCGATGCACGAATGAACAAATCAAACTGCGTTTGCTCCTTTCATGACTCAATTCTCACGAATCAACTCTCGCTGATCTGAAGATCTTCATAAATTTTGTACTGATTTTGAAAGGCTTATAGCAAATATTGTGGCGAGCTCGAACACTCTTCGACCGTCCAAGTGGAAAAGACTTCATATTGAGCAAACTTTGCAAGTCATCCAGATAGGCTCATTTAATCGGAATGATATGCATTCCAATTCAAAACAGAATGTACTGGTGATTCTGCAACTTTGTTAGTTCATGCAAAACATATTTATTCCAATGTCTGTTGTGCAGAAAGCCGTCTTGGAGACTTGGTTCAATCACATGCGTGATGTGAAGCCAGGTATCTATGTGACTTACAACGGCGACTTCTTCGACTGGCCTTTTCTGGAACAACGTAGCAAGCACCATGGCATGAGCATGTACGAGGTAAGCTCCTTGAGCAGTTTTCCTTCTCTGAAACCTGGACCATCAGAAGCATGGATTTGCCTAACCTTGACCACAAGCAATCCCTCCCATTATGAGACTGCAAGTTTACGCAGTTAAAGTATCAAGTTTCAAATGTTTCAAATTCCGCTGTACACCCGGTTGATTTGGAGTACAAAACTGAAAAATGCAGTACTGTTTGCACGTCGATTAACAAGCTTTATCATAAATCACAGTGGACAAATAACTATCGGCCTGAATCTGAATCAAACGTGTATGTGTTGTCCAAACAATTAATGTCTTGTTTCACATAAGCAGGCGTTTCTTGTCATATGAAAACTCTCTTGGACTAATCCTAAGATGATGAGCAAACATATAACGAACTATCCCAGGTAAGATAGAAAGTGTGAGTGGCGAGAATTGCTTTTCAAAGAGCCCATTTAGCGAGTGAAATCAGTACCCTCAACGACGTTACAGTAGAAACTACTTCGATATTCCGGATTATGTTGTCTATGAATGTTCCATTGTTTCATTACACGAAGACCTGAAGAACTTGTTTGTTGTTTTGTTTCAGGAGATAGGCTTTCGCTGTGATGCTGTCCAGGGAGAATGTCTCAGTAAATTTGCCTGCCATCTGGACTGCTTCGCCTGGGTGAAACGTGATAGTTACTTGCCACAGGGTAGTCAGGGTTTGAAGGTAATTTAAATGTCTTGCTTTCCTGTTTCGATATATCGTGGTATTCGAATATTTTTATGTTGTCAATCATCAGAAGATGAACATCTAAATGTTCAACATGTTCAAATAAATATAGAGCATCAACGTCGTTCCGTTTTCATCTTCCTGTCATAATTGCTCTTTTTATCCAGCGTGTCGCTACGTTATTTTACACAGGAGTTCTTGATCTCTAAATACCGCTGCCTCCGAGATATCCACTTTAACTTGATACCGTCTTATTGAATGATCAATAAGGTGGAGTTCAGTATCATCCTCCTAATATTCTTTGTTCTTCAATCCGATGTATTACAGGCCGTTACGAAGGCAAAGTTGGGTTACGACCCTCTGGAAGTTAATCCCGAGGACATGGTTCGATTCGCAATGGAGAAGCCTCAAGTATGTGTCAACTTTCTCCCGAATTTAACTGGACGGTCCACACTGTATTTGCTATGTTCCTCTCACTGTGTAAAGGGGTTTGTAAAACGATAGTGAGATATCAAAGCCGAGAAAGGACTGTTGATTTGCAACCTCATATCTGTGCAATTTCTGAGGGTACTGCTTTGTACCTCTTGCTGCTGTTAGTTGGTGAGAGATGTTGACGACCTCAAGCTGGATACGATGTTCACCCAGATCACAGTCTTTTCTTCATATGGTCATCTTACTTTGATAATTCATTCAGGTTATGTCATCATATTCGGTGTCCGATGCGGTGTCGACGTACTATTTGTATATGACATATGTGCATCCGTTCATATTCTCATTAGCAACAATCTTACCGATGCCTCCTGACGAAGTTTTGCGCAAAGGCTCGGGGACTCTTTGTGAGATGCTTCTCATGGTGGAGGTGAGATGGATCTTAGCTCTTCTTTTCTGATACGGTTATAAGATCAGTACCTCAAGTACAAAAGATTGAGTTTGCATTTCTATTTTCCTCGTCTTCTATGATGTAAGTTATGTAGCAATGCTCATGCCCTTGAACATTCAGGCATTCAAAGGAAATATCATATGTCCAAACAAGCATAAATCGGAAGAGGAAAAAGTCTACAATGGCCGCATACTTGATAGCGAAACGTATATTGGAGGTCATGTGGAGTGTCTGGAAAGTGGTGTCTTTCGTTCCGATCTACCAACAAAGTTTCGACTTGTACCAGGGGCGTATCAGGTGCAACTTCGTAAATCTTGTGGCCGGAAGACAATCAAGTCCTTTTATTTTATCACGCTGTATCAACGAAATCTGAATTGAGGGCTACATTTGTTTTCTATATAGCGTAGGATTTGTGGTTTTCCAACTGGATCAATTTGTAGAAAACACATATACATATTGATCTATGAGAAGCAGACATAAGCTTTTGATTGGAATATAGCCTCCAACCAAAGAATTGAGGACCGTATTCGACTAAAACCTTGATAAATGCTCGACCATAACGTCAATACTGTTACTGGTGGATTCTTCTTATGCTGACAGAGATTAATAGACAAACTTGACCGGGACCTGAAATATGCTATCGAAGTGGAGGGCAAAATGGACTTAGATTCTGTCACCAACTACGATGAGGTTAAGCACAACATTTCTACACAGGTACTGTGGAAAAGTGCTAGGAATCGGATGAAGAAATTTAGCTATGTAGAAAGATGTTATCCTGTACATTTGTTCGCAATGATGAGTAATTCTAGAACTCAGATTCAACTAACTGTCAGGCCACGAGTTGTCTGCTTTGTGTATAGCTGGAGGCCCTTCGTGATGCACCCAATAGAGAAGAGACGCCTCTGATCTATCATTTGGACGTTGCAGCCATGTATCCGAATATTATCCTCACGAATCGCCTCCAGGTAGGTCCCTGCTCCTTGACTTCTAAGTTTGTTTGAAATATAGCTAGGACTTGAGTTCATTACACCATTTGACTAAGTGAAGCTGCTTATATGTTGGGAAGAATAACTTGCTCGTAAGAAAAGAACTCCTTTTGTGCTCTATAGAGGCGCAATGGCAGCTAAACCACATTGGTCCACGGGAACGTTTGGACAACATCATTATGAAAGGGAGCAGTCTGCTCATGACTCCGTTTCGCCTAATGAACGTAGAGATGGCCAAATTTTCTGAGTCTTGTTTCATCTTGTTTTTAAGTTCGGCATTGTGGAGTTTTCTTTCGTCACAGCATGCGATCGTTTCGTAAAGAGAGGCGTTGCCACACATCACAAAACGTAAAGTACATATTATAATCTTTTCTCCGACATGAAGAGGTCATCAAAATGCTCACCTGATTTTTCTGTTGGCAGCCACCATCAATCGTTACAGATGATGTTTGTGCGGCTTGCGACTTCAATCGTCCAGACAAAACTTGCCTTCGTCAGTTAGAATGGGTTTGGCGAGGAGAAACTTTTTCAGCATCAAGAAGGTTTGAAGCGTTGACGGCATACGGTCTGGCTGCCTGCTACTGGTCAAAGTTCATGACATAGATGAATTAGTACATTTGTATCAGACCGTGAGAAAAAGTTGGTGACTCTACTTTGTTCCGTGTTGGCAGTGAGTACAATCATTTGAAAAACCAGATTGAGTCTGAGCAGTTCCCACCCACATCTGAAGGGGGGGATATGCGTTATTTTCGAGACCTTCCAAAAGATGAACAGCAGAGCAAACTCAAAGATCGCCTGAAGAAATACTGCCAAAAGGTTTTCCTTGAGTTTTTTACTTATTTTCAGTATTTTGTTTTATATTTTCAAACTTTATGTTAGCCCAAAATTGGTCTCAATCTTAGCCACCAACGAAACTCTTTTGATATACCTTGGAGTCAGAAAACATTTCATCAGAAACATAAAAAAAAAATCTCACTCATTCACGATCGTGATAGGGCAGGTGCATCAAGGCGTGTTTCTAAAGTTTGTGCTTCTGGTTCAGGTATACAAGAGGGTACTTGACAAGCCTATCTCTGATGTTCGAACTGCTGGAATCTGCATGCGCGAGAATCCCTTCTACGTTGACACTGTGCGCAGGTAAAATTCTGTCCTCTGTTTGGCGCTTTGATATGTTTGCACATGCTATAGCTGATGCTAGAAGCCTAGCCATCAGCTATAACTGCTAGATCAAGAGAGCTCAACTATAAAGTTGTACATGTAACACAGCGTTCATTTGAAGAAATACCTGAGATTCGGTGGTTGTAAAGCGTCAGTTTTCCTGCAATATTTTACGAGTGTAACTTCGGATTTTGTCCAGCTTCCGAGACCGTAGGTACGAATATAAGGGACTCAACAAAGTTTGGAAGGGCAAACTTGGAGAGGCGAAGGCGAGTGGCAACCCAATAAAGATACAAGAAGCCCAGGTCGGATTTTGACATGTGTTCATAATGATTTGATCAATTCAATTTTCTCTGTATTTCCGTATATGGACGTAGATTTTCTGCATTGTTATGCAAATTTCCTTTTGCTGGCTTGATGTCTGCTCACAACCAATCAGTGGAACCTCTGTATCCTGTCGTGACGGCTGTTGATACGCAAAGATGTGCATCGGAAGTAGCGAGTTTAATATTCAGCCTATAGGACCACTTTTTAAGTTTGGCCGTGTAGTTTCCTGACGCATGAAATCAGGGTCTCGTATCCTTTTGATCAGGAGAAGAGTCACAACTTGCACTTATCTAGAGATTTTATTTTAGAGACTTCAATCCTTCTACTTCAGAGATACACAGTCGTTGCATTGAAGTGAAAGGTCAGTATGTTGTTCCTTTCCCCGAACTAAAAACAGAATTCTCATCTAGTCTACGAAAATGCATCTGATTTGGCCATATCTTTCTTATTGTGACAGGACATGGTGGTTGTATATGATTCTCTACAACTGGCCCATAAATGTATTCTCAATTCATTTTACGGCTATGTCATGCGGAAGTAGGTGTCCTCACTACCTTGCACCCACTCGCTTGCTACATTATTGCTGTTAGCCGGAAAATTGTTCACTCAATTTTGATTGCTTTGGCACGAAGTTTTTGCTCGCATGGTCTGCAGTGTTCCATCGACTTCGAGATGTACCGAACTATGATCTTTACATGAAAAAGTTGAACATTTAAGATGCGACTCAAACACGGTTGCCAAATGTATAGCGCTTTGATACATGAACTAGAGTGGAGACCTTAGGATTGTATCTATAAGCAAGAACTTACTGTCATGAAATTTAGCACATCGCGTTTTCGTCCAACGTGATACCGCTAGCAATTGTCGGAGATCATGAGTAATAGGATCTCATGTCTCTGACTTTGGTTCCTCCGTATTAGGAGAGTGGCTCTGAATGCTAAGACGGCTCATATCGTGAAGATAAGGATTTCAAATTTTCCAAATTGTCTGCCAAGTTCAGTGTGGCACAAATTCCTGACTTGTCCACAATATATGATTTGTAGGGGAGCAAGGTGGTATTCCATGGAAATGGCAGGTGTAGTTACTTACACAGGGGCGAAGATCATCCAAAATGCTCACAAACTTGTCGAACAAATTGGAAAGCCTTTGGAGCTTGATACGGATGGTATATGGTGCTGTTTACCAGGGTCATTCCCCGAGAACTTCGTCTTTAAGACCAGGTCGGTACAAGAAAACGGTTTCCACTTCAACTTTGTCATACCTTCAAAGGCATTCGTCGAATCATGTTTCATATCAACACTCCCCGAGTTTCAAAAAGGGCACTTGATAATAAGCTTGCGAAAACCATTGAAGAGCATTTTGTACTCTTAAAGTAGGGCTGAGGATTTCTTTCTCGGTTGCCGATCATTTTGTAGAATCAGTTTGGAACCAAACCTGAGGCTTATTTGACTGCTCACTGCAGCGATCCAAAGAAGAAGCTACCAATATCATATCCATGTGTTATGCTTAACGTGGATGTTGCTGTAAACAACACTAATGATCAGTATCAGGTACGTGCATGAGTTGTAAGCAGAATCTATGTTCATGAAGTGGACGTTGATTTCTGAGATACTTTCACTTCCAAACTTGAGAATGCTTGAACACAAGATTGACAGCATACATTTTCAACGTTTTTGTGGTTCAAATGGTCTTCATTGCAGACGATGGTGGATCCCGTCTCTCGAACTTATGCAACAAGTAGTGAGTGCTCAATCGAATTTGAGGTCGATGGTCCTTACAAGGTGTTCAACTATTTACCAAGTCTGATTGGAAGCCGAAGATTTCTTCGCGCGGTGTATTTATGTTGCTTTGGCAAATTGAGTGTTAGACCTTGCTTCATCGTGTTCGTGAGCTTCGTGCTCATCGGCTAGCAATGCTCCATCGTAGTGTAGATGATCAACATAAACATAAACTTGGACTAAGGTCTGGAGCTTACTGTACATGATTTTAAAGCCACAGCGTGCCATTTTCTTTTTATAACAAAACAAATAGGGAGGAAGTAAGTCATGTCAGTGAAGTAATGTCGTGGGACTCGTGTCAATCCAGGCGATGATCCTGCCCGCGTCGAAAGAGGAAGGAATATTGATAAAAAAACGATACGCTGTTTTTAATGACGACGGAACGCTAGCAGAACTTAAAGGCTTTGAAATAAAGCGGCGGGGTGAGCTTAAGCTTATCAAAGTTTTCCAGGTGATGGACTAACCTCTTAGATTCTTGAAAAGATTTGCACCCTCAGTGATCAGGAGGCAGGTGTTTCATGTTACAAAGATAGATCTAATTTTAAACGATATCTAATATGGAAGTTCCTGCTATTTGGTGCCCCAGTTGGTTTCTGATTTCCTTAATGTTCTCTGTGACAGGCAGAAGTTTTCGAAAATTTTCTTCAAGGAGATACCTTGGAGGAATGTTATGCCGCTGTTGCTGAAATTGCAAATCGTTGGTTAGATATGCTCGAGGTATTGGTCTCCAAATTTTCTTGAAGGTTGTGCCTGGTACATTTCGCTGTTTACCCAAGTGCAGTACTCAAAGTTGCGCGTCAAATGACCCGTAAGACCATTTTGTTGTGTGTAGAATCAAGGATTGGACCTTGCTGACAGCGAGCTGCTGGACTACATCTCGGAGTCCAGCACTATGAGCAAGTCTCTTGAAGAATACGGAGATAGGAAGTCTTGCGCCATGACAACTGCCAAACGTCTTGCAGACTTCCTAGGCGATGCTATGGTGAAAGACAAGGGTCTTAGCTGTCGATACATCGTTGCAAAAGATCCGCCGGTTTGGTTCTATCCAAAATCTCTGGAGTTTGCTTGTTAAGCTCCTTGTACTATCAAGAAACTCGCTAGTTTGAAATTAATCCAGTCTTATTTGTTCACCAACAAGCTTCAGACTTAAGTAAATTAGAAACTAAGTTTTTCAGGATATGCCGTCAGAGAATGTCTTCCAGCTTTTGAAGCTATACTCTCATGTCATGTTTGTAGGGAGCACCGGTGAGCGAGCGCGCCATCCCAGTTGCCATATTTGAAACCGAACCAGGCAAGCACTCTACGTCCAGACACGATAGTGACTAGCTGGCTGCAAAGACTAACGTGTTGAGTTGTATTTACTTGGTCATTCATAATTCAAAATTGAAGTGTTGATTTTTCCATGCAGCGATTATGAAGGCATACTTGAAAAAGTGGTGCAAAAGTTCTTCAGACGTGGTGTTTCGATCGATTGTGGACTGGGCCTATTATCGCCAACGCCTTAGCTCAGCTATTCAGAAAATTATTACGATCCCAGCTGCTATGCAGAAGGTGTGACCAAGATTTGACCTCTTCATTCTGGGCTAGAATATCTTCTGGGCTTCTCATAAATGGCTATTTGCCACACTAGCGTACAGAACACGTTTATATGTATTCACGCAGTTGTGGTTGCTTCGATGTTTAAGACTTTCATTGGGATGGGATAATCTTCGCTGGGATGAGACTGCTACATTGTTTGCGAGACTACTTCAAGAGGAGTTACTATCTTCTGCTTGCTATTTCTCAGGTTTCAAATCCTGTTCCGAGAGTCACCCATCCAGAATGGCTATGGAAGAAGGTCCGTGAAAAGGACGACAAATATCGACAAAAGAGTCTCACTGACATGTTTCAGAAGAAGCCTGCAGCACTTCCTGATGGTATAGAAGATCTCGAGGACATGTGCAAGACTAGTGAAAAGCATCGTCCTACTCTTTCGGCTCCATCTCACAAGAAAGGGGATTTGATTGACGAAATCCCTCTTCAAGAAGGTGAATGCATTGGCCAGGAGGACATTCCTCCCATTGAGAAGTCCTTGAACGAAGATCCTGAGAACGAGGCTCGAAGCAAGACTCCAGACAAAGAGGTGGATTACGAGGCTTGGGTGGAGTACAAGAAACTAAAGCGGAAAGAGACTCGTGAACAGCGGAAGAGACAAAGGTTGCTGTCTTCTCCTTGTTTAAGAAACGTCCCTAAGTCTCAAATGTGGTCAATATTCTTTCCACAGGTGGAGAGGTTGTCTCCCAGAATTTTGCTGTGTTCCTAACACTAACAGGTTCTACTATGACACACCAGGGAAGTGATCGATCCTACGGGAGATGATGCGGTTGTTGCCCTCCCTCGAAATGTTTCTCGTAAGGATGGAAAAGGCAAGAGGCAGGCAGGTGTTGGTGCGATGTTCCGGAGCCAGCAGGCGGCACTTACAAGATCCCACTGGCAGGTATCTGTAGTTCATACTTTTACAGGTGCAAAGAAGCCAAATCATGTGTTACATAATAAATGTATGTTCCAGAGCTGTGTAACTCTGAAGCTACTGAAGACATATCCAGTATTTGCAAAAAATGTTGGTTTTCAAACAGCCCGGATCAACTCTGACATGCCGATCATCTTTTAATCGGGCCTTAGAACTCATGTCTGTCCTTAACGTCTGCAGTTGCTGCAGCTTGTTCCAACTCAAAGTCCCGGATTCTTCAGGGCATGGATTTTGGTTGCTGGTGAGATGTACAAGCTCCAGATACAGGTACCACGTGTATTTTACATCAACACACGAGCCCCTCCTGATACTGAATCAGGAAAGCGCGTTAATCGCGTTCTACCGCACATGAAGACTTGCTTCAATCTGCTTGAGGTGATATCACTAAAACTCCTGGCCTTTTAGAATATACTGAACTTTCAAAACTGCATTTCTTCTGTCATGTCCTTTTCAATTTGCAATTTCAAGCTATTTGTTGTAGTTGGCATTAGAAGAAGCTGTGTGAGCCTGCACTTCTTCCTTTGCATCCCCTGCATTTCCTGCTCTGATCTAAAATACACGTTCTTAAAGAATGAGTTGCTTTGCATCGATCAGGTGGTTTGTGATGAGGCACAATTCAAGGATGCGAGGAAGTTCCTATCAGCACATCTTGCTGATCCCGATGTCGAGGTAAGTGGGCTGCACGTAATTTTTGTGAGTTGGATAGCTTCATGTGAGCTTGCAGGCATCTTGTTTCAAATTACTTGTCTCCGTTACCCCAAGGCCGTAGAGTAAGCAGCACTGGAGAGTAAAAGAAACAACTGAGCCAGAAGAAGGTTTTCTTATCGAAAGAACATCATGCGAATGAGTTTGCCGCCTTCTGACTGTGTGCGCTTCAAATCCAGGGAGTCTACGAAACTAAAATCAGTCCCTTGCAACAAGCAATACTACGATTAGGTTGTGTCTGTACCGTGGATGCGAAAGCCAGCAAACGAAACGCCAATGCCACTTGGTCTGTTGATGAGCTACATATGAAAACAACGGCAGAATCCGCGTACCTGAAGGTTGCTTTGAATTCTTTCTTTATTTATCAAAGGTTCGTTCGTGACACTCTCTCAACCCATGGTCTTAATTGATATCTGCATATCTGGGACGTCCGTGCCTGGATACAAGTCCAATGTTCGAGTCCCGGATGGGAGTCATTCTCTTGACCCCAAGAAGAGCAAGATGATGAACAACCCCTCCCCTTACACCCTGTGGTGTAGAGATTATCCATTTCGTCATATCTTTACCAGCAGCCCTTCAGTCAGATGTAGAGAGACTCTATACCATATCTCTGTCAGCTCGTATAGCCAAGAACGAACTCACATAGTCAGGCCTAGCTTCAAAGACCGAAGCTGCTACTCTTGGATTCGAACCTCTTTAGCTAGATGAGCCAGTAAAGCTATTCTTGTTGCTTTACGGGCTCATCCAGTAAAGCAACAAGGATGCGGCGAACTATGCTTATCTATGGGGAGATGTCTTACAAAAACACATACAATCTTCACTCCAATATATCCCTCTCATCTTCTGCTTCCCTTTTCATCTCATCTTGCTATTGCTTCCCAGTCTTTTACTGCTCGCAACCCGCAGCTAAGCGAGGAGTCTTCAGCTTATAACAGGCTATCAGAAACGATTAAGAATTATCAGAAGTCACTGCGCCACTTCTTGGATATTTCATAAATTCTGTGGTTGCTGATAGTACCCGTCCTTCACAATCCCCATGTACACGAGTGTCATGTGTTATATATATCTTTCTGAATGTCATTTTTAGCTTTCGACATGATTTATCTTCACTATTTCGTTGGCCTTAGCTCAAATGTTTATGCCGTACGCTTTTTCGACCCAGAGCTAGTGATGGAGGAGTTTACTGGCCGATGACGTACACAAATGTCCTGAAAAATAGGAGTATCACTTGGCGCGTATTTGTTTATTATAATTATTGAGTTGTATCGTTGGAATGTTATCCCCGAGAAAGATTCTCTCTGTATTAGGAATTTAAGGCTCCAGGAGCTGCATTGTCAAACCTTCTGACCCAACGCGAACCTGTTGCGTCAGTTGCATGAATACGCGAGGACTGTATACTCTGTACACACCTGCCGCTGAGAAGATCCTGGTGGTGGTGGTTAATCCTCGCAACAATAAGGAAGTCTCTTCAGTGCAACTTGAGAAGCAATTTCGAGACGCTGCCAGCAACTCTGGCCTGTCAAATCATGAGGTCTCAACTTGGACGGTCAAGGTAAGCATTGTTTACAGATTCAAGCAGAGAACGCATACTGTAGGGAGAGATTGACAATTAGAACCATCAATGAGAATGGCTTAATATTACAAATAGCTTTCTGCTTTCCACCGACATGGTCGGTATAACAATGCTGCAATTGAGGCTGAGTGAAAGTTACTGTCAAAATATCGATATTTCTGCCGAAATCGGTAAAGAATGACAAAAATGACTTCGGGTTAGGGCAAACTGAAGCAATCTAAGCGGCACCAAAAGGAAATCAATTTCAGTCTTAGTTGAATGCTTTTCATCTGCAATGATACTATTAACGTCTAGTTCATTGGCCAACAAACAACTAGTGTCTCAGTCAGCATCTAATATTCTTCTGGCAGGTTGAGTATTTATCCAGCCATCAAGACGCCGGAAGACTGCTAAATCGGAGTTTGGTTGAGTTCAGGTTAGTAACGTCACTTTTGCACACTGCGTTTCAGAGAATTGTCCAGGAGCTTAAAATTGGTATTCGAGAACATAGGGATCAACAAAACCGGCCAAAACCTTGGACCTGACGACACAACGGTTGGTTTTTCGCTTGTAGGGATCAGCATCCAGGTCCCACCGTTGCACTTACTCAGTGCCCCAACACTGAGGATCTCATGGCCATCGTTCCCCTGCTCAACGAGTTCCCGTGTGTGCAGATCCCCTGCAATGTCCGCGATAGTCAGTACCAGGTACGATACAGATGTAATGTATGCCACTCAGTTGTCCTTATGGTGGCAGTGATGTTGCTGTTTTTCAAAAGCACGAGTAGTGACTATTTGTAAGGCCGCTGCTTCTTCATAAAGTGGTGAAACTTGTGGTTGAGCTGTTTGAGAAACTTGTGCTTTCCTGTGATCACTTCCGAGCTAACTTTGATATCTCATTTGGAGAAACAGGCTCTTGGCTGGCAACCCATTGCAGGAAGAGTTGCAATGCACAGGTGTGTTGCTTCGTCTGTCTGGTTACAAGAAAGAATCTCTCTCGCCCGATACGCTCACGTGAGTTCCCACCAAGATCAGTCTCAAATAATTGGTTTTCACTCGCTGAGGTTTTTGGAAGCAGCAAGAAAATACCTTTTTCAATGGAATTTTTACATTTTGGTTACTGTGTCCGCAGGTTCCGCTAGGAAACGTTGACTCTGATTGGCTTCTGTTTACAGCCGACACATTCTATTCACGCGCTTTGCGTGAAAATCAGCAGGTACCTCCAATTCTAACAAGCCAGGCTTTCGACTTCCTTGTTATTCTCAGTGGATGTGACGTAAGTTCAGCAAGTTGATTGAAACTCGGTGACTCTTACGGAATTGTCCTATTGTGCATCTACAAAACTGCATGACTTATGTGTGATGTCAGTGACGTGAACTTCATGAAACATCACCGTAGCAGGGAAAGCTTGTATGGTGTGCTTGAGTATAGTGGTTCATATGCGTCTTCAGGTTTAACCTGGTTCCACGTTCACTAAGCAGGTGCTTTGGAGTTCGGATGACGGCGTACCGGATCTAGGTGGTGCCATCACGGATGACAGCACATCTCTAGAGGATGAAGTAAGTAGGGTCAATCCCCGTATTATACTGAACATAGTAGTATGCTCGTGGTACGCTCGGTACCCTTCTTATACCTTTGTGTATGTTTTAGACGAGTATTTACAAAGGAAGGCAATTAATATTTAAAAAAGGCAAAAAATCCGAAAATGAGAAACAAGTCTAATTGAATTGACTGCCTTTATGATGTAACGTCACGAGCGTTTGTATACATTTTAGCTATGAACTTTGGAAAGGGAGATCATTGTAAGTATATATCCCTGCTTCAAGTTCTGCTTTTTTATGCAGAAACAGGACTCGGAGGATGCGTAGATCTGACTTACCCATGGCTACTTGAGCTGAATGCAGGTTCAGCAGCCTGCTGTTTCGTTTCCAGGTGCATATCGCAACGTAACCATCGAGTTCAAGGTGTGATTCTGCCATTTTTCACTATCCTCTATGTATCTTCTCTTGAACTTCAAGCATCTTCCAGGTGCTGGCCACCTGGCTATTCTCGATATTCCAACTCATATGCTATGTCAATATCTTCATACTCCCTCTTCGTGATCTCTTGTGGCTGCAGATCTATCACTTGGCTGTGAATGCCCTTCTAAAAAGCAGTCAGATTAGTGAGTTCGAAGGAGGAACTATTGACGGAGACGGCAGCGCTGCATTTAATGATGGAAGTAATACCTGGAATGAGGAGATTTTTTGCTCTCCTGCATTCCGAGTGCTGAAGCAACTAGTCGGTGGTTGGCTTGCTGATGCTATTTCTACTGGAAACAACTATTCGGATGCCTTACTACAACATGTCTATCGCTGGATTTGCAGGTATTATTGTGTCTTCATAAGAGTGTATCCTTGTATCTCTCCGTATCGTCATGAATCTCTGGATATTCGTTCACTATCAGCTAACGAGAAAAGGAAGATTTAACGTCGTGCGTTGTTGATGTTTAGTTATTTTGTATTCCCCACTGCTGGTGACATTGCAGTCTTCGTGAAGTCCTTATTTTCAAACCTGAAGCTGAAGCAGATGATAAAAGCCTTTTACTTGTTTGACCCTATTTCGTAGCTCTGAGCACCCATCTTTTAACGTCGGAAATTTGGACCATTTTTTTTCTGCAGTCCCCAATCCAAGCTTCATGATCCTGCACTCCAGCGTGTTCTTCACAAGGTAGAGCGCATTGCCGTTACGAGGCCAACTTGTCTTGGGAAGCTTCCATTGATGACACCTTATGTTCCTTGTACTGCCAACTCTTAGCAATATGTATGTACACAGCACACAGTATTATTAAGAAGAAGCTACATTCGTATTCGTCAGGTTATGCAGAAGGTGTTTGCGTTGCTCCTTATGGAGTTGCGCAAACTTGGAGCGACGATTGTGTTTGCTGATTTCAACAAGATCATTATAGCCACAAACAAGAGTAACATCACTATGGCTCAAGGCTACTGCGAGTACCTTCTGAAGACAGTGAAGGCTAGGTACCATACCCAGCAGCATTATATCAAGCACACCTCTACACTTTCAGTGCCGGGGTATTTAAGGTTTGATAAGTGCTCATAAGATTTCTTATTTATGAATCATCTGAGCTGTTTTGCAGGGAGTTGTTTGAATGGATCGACCTTCGACCCAAGCAATATTGGCACTCACTACTTTTCATGGATCAGGTATGCTTCTGCAATCGCAATGGTGCCAAGGTGTCAGATTGATCAACTTACTTTCCACCGAGCAGTTTGTTTGGTTTCGTGAGTGAGATTCCCAAGCTATTACCTTTAGGCAGGGTGTCTTGGAACTTTAATACAAGATACGTATGATCATTTAAGCTACCTGCCAAACCACTCCGTGCTATCGCAATTACAGACACTGTGTCATCTTTTTAGAATCCGACTTTTATTGACGCTACACAGGAACGTACTCACTTCTTGCAAGTATCGTCTCCAATTGTCTCAAGTGAGCTACCAAATGTAGTTGGTGCCCTACAACGTCAATCCTCGGAATTCGTTTAAATGACTAAATATTGTGCATAATGAGTTTATGAGAAAGTCCATCATGCAAGGTGTTATGTTGTTGATTACACGAGTGGGCGTAGCTACGGCCTTATGGCACTAGCAGATGCAGCAGTCTGGTTGGAAAGTCGCTCTGGTGATATAAGGCTGATCTCCTAACGAGGGACTTTTTTCTGTTTTTGCAGCATAACTATGGAGGCATCAAAGCAAACACTGCAACACAGTCCTTCGAGCATCAGGAAGACCAAAATGGAACTCTGCCAGAAGAGATCGTTTCCTACTGGAACATAGCTGAGTATCTGCCGAAAGTAACACAGGTAAGGAAAGCTCCACTGAAGATCCATTTGATACATCGACAGGTTTTTGGATGGATATGATTCATAGCAGCATGCCTTGTCCTGCAGGACTACTTTGTAGTGATTGTCTCGGAGTACATCTACATTCCATGGAAACACGCAATGGATGAAGCGGCCAGACGACGTGCAGGGCCAGTCTCCTCTACCCCTTCCATCACTGTGGCTGCGGCAGCTGACATGGAGGCAGGCGAGATTTTGTTTCTTAAGGAAAAGGTGAGTCAACTCCATGACTTCTGGTTACAACTCTTGTTGCCCACGAATCTTTGTTCTGACATGCCGTATGGTCTGAAACGAACGAGGTATCAGAGTAAAAGTTTTAGGTGGTCACTTCTTTTTGAGGCCCATGCATGCAGTACAAAAGCTGTCACGAAATCAGATTCTTCTGATCATGATTATGAGATAAAATCGATTTATTTCCAGTCGAGGGAAACTCAACTTATGAATGATTTGTTCTGAAGCGAATAATGCTGAATGAAGGTCATTCTCAATTGTTAAAGTCGGCTTAGTTTTCGTTCGGCACCCCTGTTAGTTTGTGGATTTATCTCCGACATGTGACTCAGTCTTAACATGGGTGCTTTTGAACATATAATCAGGTTCAATCTCACTTCACTGAGAAACTTCTTAAAACCGTCAGAGATGTGCAACGGCACATGAACACGAAGAAGTACGAGGACGATGAGGAGTTACAGTCCGCTCGTGAATTCCCTAAGCTGGCAGGTTCACATCTGGAGATGACTGATGCCGCACTGGAGTTCATTAAACACGTCTGTGCAGTCTTCATGCTCGATCAGCGTGTTCAACACGAAGTTCTGGTCAGTACTAGCCTATGAAGTTCGTCCATGATACTCCACAGCTGAATTTGTTGCAGATCCATGTACAACGTTCTCGCTTGTCTTACTGTATAAAGCAGTCATTGGTTTTAAATCAACTAGTATGATGCTTTGGATGAATCTCCAATCCAATGCAGTGATTGGTTGCTGTGGTGGGTAGCATGTGTTTGATTACTAGTTCTAATCCGGTTTATTTACTTGCGTGCATGCCAGGTGCTGCGAAAAAATCTCCTGAAGTTAGCGCGAGTAAGGGAATTTTCACAGGAGGCTACTTTCCGAGACCCCTGCTTATCATTCATACTTCCCAATGTTATCTGCAGGTACGTATAGAGCAATGTTCATGGCAGCAATTTAGCTTCCTGCGAGCATACTCGAAACATCCATGTGCCATACCCCATGGATATCAAAATGAATATGAAGGCTGAATCATTTTGTTGTACGGTGGTGTGCGTGTACTGGTGGGAGCAGTTACTGCAATGATTGTAGGGACATGGATCTGTGTCGAGATGCGGCCTTGATAGAACGAGACTGGCGCTGCGTGATGCCCCTTTGTGGGCAACCATACAATCGCGAGTGGGTTGAAAACGCGCTCCTTCAAATCGTTCGAAAGAGGGAGCGTCTCTACCACCTTCAAGACCTGCTCTGTGTCAAGTGTCGTCAGGTGCGTGATCCTTCTAATTCTGCCCCCTTCGCCCCTGTGTACGTTTCTTCACATTATAGGACCCCAGCGATTGCCATTCCTGCTCCAAGTCCCGGGAAATTGCAGCCCATTTGGAGCTTAGGACGACCAGCGGCGACCGTCTACGAGAAATCTACGTTCTGTGAGAACGTAGAATTGTCGTCTCATATGCGAGAGAATGGGTGAACGAGTGATGGCTTTAATTCGGTTTGCCAGGCACCGGCATCGGAATCTGACAGCAGCGGTCGTCCATTGCATCGCAGGTGAAGGCATCGCATTTAGCAGAGCAGTGCACCTGCGCAGGAAACTTCAGGTGTCGGGAAAGTCCCAAGGACTTCCTCCAACGAATGCGCGTCTTCCACAACATCGCAGTCTACCACGGGTTCGACCTTCTCCAGGAGTGCGTGTCCTGGATCTTGCAAACAGCCGCCATCCCCGAGGACTGAGCTCGTTCGTCTATGCGCGACATCGAAGCCTACTCCTCGACCTCGACCTCGCTCGCGACCTGGCAATTAGACCGACCAGAGCCGCAAGCCATCGCCGCCTGACCCCTACTCGTCAGCCGAGCTTGTAACATGCCGGAAATTGTAGACTAGCACGAGAGCACCCCCTGTAAATATAGTCCCATTCTTTTAAAAGCGGGTAGAATGGTCCATACCCACAATTCTAGAATAGCAGACGTCCGCGACCCAATGTCGACCATAGCAGAACCTGCTGGTCTCTCTCTGCCTCAGTGTCTCTGCCTCAGTGTCCGGTCCAAATTAGCGCCTTCATGACTCTTTGTTTCCGACGAAATTATGATCGAGCCGCAGCAAGTGGCAGGACCTCGAGCCCGAATAAACACCGTCCCGGATTCGCTCCCTCTCCCTCTCGAGAAAGAGAAGCAGAAAGAGAAGCAGATGCCTACCATGAGTCAATGAGTCGAGTGTGTGTGAGAGAAGGCTCGACATGTCAACGCGTCTGGGGTCCTGGGTGGGGGGGGGGGGGGTCCGTCGGAGCGGTGGGCTTCTTCCTCGTCGCTATGTTTGTCGTCGTGTTTGGCTAAAAGGAGCGCGGGCGCGCGGACAACTCCCCGCGGCGGCACAGTGTTGTAACGGACTGGCGCGGCCCCATGTGAAGCCTATCTGCAAGAGCGGGCCGCGGCCAATCAGCGCCCAGCGTACCCTCGGACTGTACGCCTCATGGACGCAACGTTATCCCCTGCGCCAGTGCTGCTCTCGTTCCATCCATTCCGCCGTTGGGCCAAGCGCCCCGAGAATCATCGTCCGTCGTCTTCCGTCGTCCGTCCAAGGTACCGGAGCGATTGGTCCGTCGGAGGCCGACGTCGTCGGGTTTTTTACTGGGACCTCGGCCATGCAGGTAACTTTTGGTCGCTGGTTCGACCGAGAGGGAATAAGTGCCAGGTTCAGGTTTTCAGGCCATGCGCCCAGTCGCCGGCCAGCGTCGAGTGACGACCGCGTCGAAGCAATAACGACATCGGCCCGTGTACAGTCGCGGCGAGAGAGCAGGGGCTGTGGCTGGAGTGCGTCGGACGACACGTCCCTCCTGCGACATTAAGGGATGACGTGGTTGGCAGGTACCGCGTGATGGAAGACGCCCGTCGTACCTTATCTGCTCGGAACGACGACATTTCGCAACGGAGGGCCCTTAATCATTCGTCGTCCCGTCGCCCGTCCCTCCCCGTCCAATTCCAAAGTCCCCGAGCCCCGAGGCAGAGGCGATGAATGAATGTACACTCTGGGACTGGGCGAGATCGGCCACTACGAGATTGTTGATAAACCCTGCGCTTGGGAACCGATATTCGCTGCCATGAGGGCCTGGCGAATGGCAGTGAGTCATCGGGGCGAGTATGGATGGACCTGAGGTCGGGCCAGGTCGCGTACGGGAGCTCGATTCGGGCCCTGATACGGTGCACTCTGAGACTTGACGCCGCTGGTACACCTCCAGAGCCGAGCAGTGCGTGTTCCGAACATTTGTTCCGTACTGGCATGCAGTGCATCTCGCTGGAATGTGGTTGTGTGACCAGCGGGCTTTCGGAAAGGCATCTGGATACTATCCGGGCAAAAGCTCGTGTACGGGCCGCTGGGCTGCGAAAAGCGATGCCGGGGCTTGAATTCCAACGAGTCGTCGTCGTGGACATGTAAGAGGAGAATCAACAGTTTGTGTGTGAGCGAGGGAGGGAGGGAGTGCTGTGCGGATTGGTGAGCGAAGCGGAGGTTAGCTTTTCATTGACGATATTCCGAGCGTTTGTGCTCCTCGGGTGGATGTTCATGCCCTTTACAGAACCTAATAATAATAATCTGGTGACTGGTGCATCCGATCTTCCTAGAGGCCGTTCGCAGGACGCCTGTGGTGCTCCGGTGCATGTGATAACGCAGTTGGTTCACCAATTGCCCAAGGCTCTCACTGCGGAAAAACCTCGCGTCTCCGCTCGAAATCACCGCTCGCAGTGCTCACTTCCTCGACCTTTGAGTGGCAGTCGGACAATTAAGTTGAATTTTTAAAACACAAAACTCGTCTCCGCTCGAAATCACCGCTCGCAGTGCTCACTTCCTCGACCTTTGAGTGGCAGTCGGACAATTAAGTTGAATTTTTAAAACAAAAAACTCGTCTCGGCCGAACTGCGATTCGCTTCATGCGCAGTTTGCACCGAATGAGAAATCGTCGTGTGTGTTTTCTACCCTCCCGGAGCTCCTCGTCCTCGGTATGAAGACCCGGTTTTTCTCTCGGGGAGTGATGGAACATCTTATCTAAAGCTTTGATTGGTACAATGAAGAAAGACCTCGGTGCGATGGACAGACTCTCGAAAAGAATTCCTGCATGTTTCTGACAGTACGTGAAGATTCCTGTTGATTGGAGCAGGGGAGACAAACAATCTGACCGAGGACAGTCATGTTATTTTCGGTGATTTCATTTACAGCGCCTGCAATCATTAACAATCAGAACCGATCGAGAATATATCTATAATACATCTCCTCCACGTCTATATTATATTTTAACACGGCTCCCCCCGCTCCCCTCACCGCGCGACTGGCCGACCTTAAAGAACGACTCTCTCGATGCATGTCAAGAAACAGGTGCAGCATAAGTCGCTCCTACACGCTCAAATGAGAAGAAGGCGAAGAAGCAGCGAGCGAGTGAGCGAGCAAGAAGGCTCGGCCCAGCGGCCGAGGATCGGATAGATCTGTCATCGACAGAGCGCCAGAATCATAAAGACTTACGTCATGCGTAGTTTAAAATAGTTTAATCATCGCTGCAGTGCGACACGAGCACGAGGAAAAAAAAAGGCGATGGCGTCATGAGCTTCCGCTTCTTCATCCTCCGGCCGATCCTCTCGCTTCCTCCTCCTTCTCGATGGCGACCTGGCCGCACCTCACTCGCCTCCTCCATCTCCGCAGCCCGAGCGGTTCAATGTCAAGCGAGCGAGCACCCTTCGCACCATCTTCCGCGCTCTGACGCAAATCTCTCGATCCCTTCGTCCGATCCCAACTCCCTCCCCTTTCTCCTGCCGAGGCCGATGCCGAACAGAAACGCTCCCGTCGTCGACGTCGACGCTCCATCCGGCGGGCGCGTCGTCCGCGAAGCCTCGTTCTGATCCGCCGAGCTATTTCCGACGGTCGCTCGCTGCGGCGCGGTGGAGCGGGCGGACTGACTGACAGTCAGTCAGTCACTCGCGTCAGAGTGAGTCAGAGAGCGCATCGTTGTCGCTTCTGTCCGTCCGTCCGGCGTCGTCCGAGCGAGAGAGAGAGCGTCCGTCCGTCACGTGGCGCGGGTGAGGGCGAGCCCGCTGCCATTGGGCGCCGTGTCGTACGAGCTGATGTGGATAAAATGCGGTCAGTGCTTGGCACGACTGCATCCGTCCGTGTGGCGTACAGTGGCCGTGCGATCGATGCTGTGGCTGCAGGGCCTCGCTGCTCTTTGACTCGAATGACTGTGTTGTCGCTTTCCCCTGACGTGGCCGCCTGCCCTGCTGTACTGGCCGACCGACCACCTTACGTGGATTCCTCGCAATGATCAGCTGGCACAGGTTTCGTTTTGCTGATGTGGCTTGCCAGAACGTGGATGGCTACCATTTATAGTCTGCCTCTCTCTCGCTCCTGAGCCGAGCTTTCGGTCTGTAGTATCTCCAGCCCCCTCGAGGGCCTCATTTGAGCCTATCCCCTTTCCCCTGTCCAAAATAGATTAACCTTTTCCCCCCAACCCTTCAACTCCTCGGTTAACTAACCCTTGGGCTACACAACGCAAATAAAAAAAAATTGACTGCGCTTTTAATCCCTTTATGACACCCTTTTCGGTTTAAAACTTAACTTAATGCCCATTAAAATTAAAAAAATTCCATCTTTGAAATATAGAACAGAACAGGAATTTCATTTTTTTTCAAGACTATCTTTTTTTAAATAATGCTTTCTTCCCTACGTGCGAAAATTATTCTATTCGAATAATTCGGTGTTCGTCCATGTGTTAAATGAGCCTAAGAACGAGGAAATTGCATTTGTTTTCATTTCATCTCGTGTCATCTCGCTTGAATGTAAAGACTCCTTTAAAAAACGGGTATATATTCACACGTCATCTAGCGAACCCCTCGAGTTCTAGCTCGGTTGAGATTGGAAATGTGCCCTTTTCTCGATGCTCGATGACTTTCCAGTAAAAGCAAATGAATCACTCCTCGACGACGAGAGAAAGAGTATCAGAGAAAGCAGAAGTGGAACGAGAAGAGGGTGGAAAGACCAATCGGGCATAAACTCTATCCACTTCTGGCCATTGCATCGTCCGCTTTATTTCGGAATGCAGATCCAGACGGTCAATGAAGTGTGACTCACGCCGGTCCTATAACCATCACTTCACCGGATCCTGCAAATCTCCACGCTCCCTCAAAGCAGGGCAACCCTCCTCCACATCCGCTCCGTCTCATGTTCCTGCCGAGCCATGATGCGCAGTCAAAGTAACTAAGTTTCTCCCCCACCGATTCTCCCAATTTCTTTGCCCTATTTGCACGAACCATGATGATGATGGCTCTCGGTCACATTTCTGACCTTCGTGGGGGAGGTGACCATTTGGTCTTTCTGAGTTCCCTAATTTCCCATTTCCATCCTGGCCAAAAAAAGGTCGCTTCCTGACACGCGAACTCGAAGGGATTTTCCGAGCGAATTGCCAAATTCGAGAAGCGGCCGAGCTTTCTTGAGCCCGTCTAGAACTCCCTGGAGTCCGCCCTTTGGGGACCTTTTCTCGTGATCCGGAAGTTTACTGCGTCTCACTCGCCCGAAACGAATTTTGTACTTTTCCACGACGTGGTTACTTGTTCCGTCATCAACGTTCGGACGCATCGCGCGATGATGGTTTCGTGAGATTCATCAAAATCAGGTCGCTGCTTCGATTGTTCTGCAACCAGCTCTCGATTCCTTGCGGAAGAATCGAATCGGTGAATAATTATTGGGCATCGCGAATTGAAGGGAATGTCGTCATTCCTACTACATTGGACCAGTAGACGCGACGACCGGCAAGAACCGGATAGAGCCGGGAAGACATCGTAGGAGACGGAAGTTTGGCTCGATGTGGAGGACGCCGAGCGGACGTAGAGGGAGCGAACTTCTCGGGCTAAACATCGAAACCACGTCGAGTACGACGACGACGATGACCATTAACGTGACGGAATCGAGCTTTCCATCCTCCTCCTTCGACCGCAGACGTACAGGACATGACGTCCGTGATGAGGAAGTAAGACGAATTTATGACCATGCCGGTTCACGCAGTCTTCCTCCGGACGGATGGACGGACGGACGGACGACCGGCATGTGCACTCACTCCATCCTATCTTTAGCTCCGAAGTTTCCTCCGTCCTACCCAGACCGTCTGTCTGCTGTGGACCTGGACCAGCAGAGGCGGTAATCGGTCAACAGTCCGGTCACATTCAGAAACTGTGCCTTCATGCGTGTGAGCTAATGAACTGATCGGAGACGGATTCGAGGTTAACAGGGCACCCGGTGGCTATGGACTGACCGACCGGTGACCGGTCCTAGAACCGGGAGCAAGTTTAGATTGAGCAGTAGACTCAGGGTAACCGGACGATGTATGGAGTGATGACCTGCGTACAATGGCCACCGGAACGGAACACGACAGGCGGCAGAAGCAAGGACCGAGAGACGCATCTCGTGCATTCCGGATGGACCGTCCCCGAACGGAGCAGTTCCGCCCTGGGACCGTGATTGGACGGGTCGATAGTCTTCGTGGGGATGGGAAAGGGGAGAATCGGAAGTAGTGCTCAGCATGGGGGCATATGGCGAGACGAGGTCACTTTGATTCTCGACAGGCAGGAATCCATTCGGTTGAGTGTGGGGCAGGGTCAGAATTGACTCGATTGCAATCAGTCGCAGGGGCGTATTGAATGTCCGACCAACCGAATTTAGCTTGAGTGTGAAATCTACTTTTGCGCTAAAGTGAAGCCAAGGGCGGGGAGGTGGTATAATGCGAGATGGAAGTTCATCAGGTCAGGTCACGCCCCTGATGCTGATTCATGCGGGTTCAAGGTTCCAGCGCTCCACCTGGAGCCGGCTCGTTGGGCTGTAACAGGGTTGGCCATGGTGGAGATGAAGTGTGGAAGGAAAAAGTCTCGCCCTAGACCTTTAATCGCTTCGACGAGGATGTTGGAAGTTTCTTCAATCATTGATCGATTGTGCGATGGGCGAGCAGATGTGGCGCCGGGGCTGAATCACGGAATCACGGAAACTCGGGGCAATGTTGATGTCTTGGACGTCGCAGATGACGAGAATCTTGTGAAAAGGCGAGGAACGCGGACGATTGCAAGAAAGGAATACATGTCCCTCGAGTCGAGTCGAGTCGACTTGAGTCGAGGCGAGGGGAGATGCATTCGACTTCCCCTCCCGAATTCCAGAGCGGGCAAGAGGTTGTGTGTGTCGTGCTCATGCAGCGCTGGCTTCCTTTCCGTGCTCGAGAGATGCAATCAGCACACACTACCACCACATTCTAGACTAGGACGAAGAAACCGAAACCCCGGATCGCCAGAAATGGCGCCAGCGCACATTCCAGCTCCATGCACTCTTCCGAGAAGCGCATTCAAACTGCCATCTCGTGGAAGCAATGCCCTCCCTCCCTCCCTCCGCTCCTTCCTTTTGCTATTCTCGGAGAGCCCAGCAGCATCGCGCTCCTTCATACGGAACTCGAGATGACATTCGTCGGAGGTCAAAGCACGCATCGGCCTCGTCGTGCTCTTCCTCGTCTTCTTCGTCTTCTTCTTCAGAGACGCTCTTCCTTCGCTGGCAACAGTTTGCTGTTGCTGGTCAAAGAGTACCCACAAGTAATCCTCGAGGATGTGGCCGAGAAAGAAGTCAAACCAGGCCTCGAGAATCGCCCCATCGATCCATATCTGCATTCTTTCATCTTATACTATCTTCTATGAAAACATTTGGTTAATACCCATCTGTATACATGAAATAAATGCATTAACATCCATGACTTTTGTTAGTATATTGCATTTTGGGGTCTTCAGGTCATGATGTGTATGTGATCAATCCACTTTACATGTGCAAAATATGGGGAGGGTTAGTTATCCTTCACTTAGGACTAATTAGCCCTCACCCTAGTAGTATAGGCTCTTCTCCGATTCCTCGAACACACTTTAGAAGTAGGTGCAAAATATTCAATGCAATACCAATTGTGCATATAAATCATTACACATATACATTGTATTGCAGTGATCTTTAAATTTCAGTTTTATATTATGAGGATATACTAGATATACGTCGGATCAAATTATATTATACTTGTTATTACTTTAAATATTAATACGACTAATAAATTTCCTAATCAACATCTAAAATATTTTCAATATTCGTACTCATTTAGAAATTGATTATTCAATTAAGTTCATTGATTTGATGTATGTTGGGCAAAATTGATATACAAAAAAAATGCATGAAATTTTTTTACATACAAATTTTTTTTATATCTATGGCATATCATTATATAATCCTACACTTCTAATATTTATAGTGTTAAATCTTGAAAAAAGTTGACATGTACATATCATGTAGAATATTTGCTCAAAGTAACATATAATCACAAATATTATCTATGAATTTTGATGAAAAATAATTTTATAACTATATGGTTACAAATTTCACCTAAAAAATGTCATAATGATGAAAAGTAGCATGACAACCTTTTTTCTGAGTATTTTTAGTAGGGTTATTTTCATAGGTTTATTGAATATTTTTATTCTCTCAGCTTTTAAAGAGCTAATATATTAGTTTTTTTTTAATTGATGTTTTTTAAAATATTTTAATTAAATGATTAATTTATGAGGGAATCTTCTTCATCTTTTTATAATTTAAATGGAAGAATCCAATGAGAATGAATTTTTTTTGAAAAGTTAATAAAATCGACTGATAGGTGATAATGAAGTATCATGAAGGTTCCGTTTGTTCAAATTTAAACAAAAAGTTCAAAGTATAGTATCATTTTAAAATGACATGAAGCTCGATTTCAGTTTGAAAATTTTATATTAATTTCAATAATGGAATACATTTTTTGATCGTAAAAATATTAGTTAAAAAAATAGACCTCTAGCTCTGGCCGAGCTTTCAACAAATTATCGTGGCGTCATATATAGGAATTGGTATATGCTTAAGTTTGAAAGCTAGCAACTTCAAGAGGTTGTAGACAGAATATTTCATTGGGTTATTGATGCAAAATTGGACCTTTTTTTTTACATAATTTTTTTTACTCTGAATGTGAAACTCTTTTTTTAGGTGTTTTCAAGAAATCTTGATGGTTTAGTGCTAAAGCACCAAGATAATATAATTAGATATACAAATTATAGTCATTTTTATAATCTAAAAAATGAACATATGTGATCAAAGAACTCAAATGTAGATATGATTCATCCAGAATAATTATTTCAAGGACCAACTTATAATTTTTCCTCTGAATTTTTTGAAAATATATTTATTTCTAATGTGTTACTTTTTGCACGCCAACAATGAGTGTGTTGCGAGACTTACATTATCTATAGAGATGATGTTTTAGATGATAATTATCATACTGCCTTCTTGTGAACAGCTTTTATCAATATTTATATGGAATTTCCAGATGATCTCGATTTTCGTTGTAATTAGTGATTCATTTATTGATTAGCAGGTATATCTCGCTAACATTTATTTAAAAAAATATTTCATATTATGAATTTGATCATTATTTCAATATTTAAATTTTTATGCTAGTAATGTAGTCTAATATTTGAAAAAAAAAATCCCAAAATTCTGAAAAATAATCGTTTAAAAGGTCTTGAAGTTTAATCATTGAAAATCTCATATTGAATGCAAAAGTAAATAAATGCTTATCGAGTGAAAGGAACGAGCGGAACGGGGCACAAATGTAAATAAACGTGATTATATGGATGGATGCTCGCATACACCTATTGAAGGCTAAGCTCGCTGTGAAGGGAACAATTTCACCAGCAACGCATGCGGTTCATGCAAATGTCGATGGGTAAAGACAACTTCCGAAGTTCAGAAAGCGCACGTCGTTCCGGAGGAATACCACAACTCGAATAATAAATAAGAATAATAAGAGAGTCAAATAAGGCAGCGGAAATGCCCCCGGCCCAGCGATGCCGTGCCCTGGTAATTGGGATCCGTAGATATTTTGTTTACGGGGGTCGTAATAATGAGGTTATATTGGGAGTGTACCATACAGTTAAAAGACCAATGATTGAGAGAAATCTTCCCAAAATTACGTGTCCTTTCTGGGCCTCCATGTGCGCGGCGGGGCCCTGAGAAACCCTCGCGCCTTCTTCTTACCGCAGGTCAGACCGGTTCTAACCGCGCTCGCACCGTAGACTAGCGAAGACAAAGGTCTGCCACTCCGGTCGGAAAAGGATACCGGTGGAGCGTCGTCTGCAGATCGCACGGCCCCAGGCCTGGATCGATCGCGCCGGGCGTGACTCGACGCGCTCGTCACGGTCGCGTAAAGCGGGGCCGCGCTGAGGACAGCAGTCCAGCGTGGACGTCGTCGCGGGGAGGAACCGAATCCACGAGTCCGATAGATGGAAGGTCGTGGTGGGGCGTCCACATGATTGACGCACGAATCGGAAGCGGCCCAGGGGAGTCCATTTGGCGTCGCGAGGATGCGAACCATGGAGACGCGCTGACGCGGTCAGGGGCCCTCGCGGGTGGGGCCCGGGAATGGTACAGGGGAATGGACGGGCCGGGAAGGGTCGGAGGGCACTAGGGCTCAAGGGTAGGGTAGGGAGCTAGACTAGGATTTAGGGGCGTAGGGGCCTAGCCTGGACTGGCCGGGGACTGGCCGGGCCTGACATGGGACATGACAACAGGGATCGACCGATCGACCGATGGCTGGATCGTTGACGTGCTGACATGACGGAACGGCCCCACCAGAAACCCACCTGTACAGACTGACAAGTTGGCAACATGGACGGGGAGCTGGAAGTCGCCTTGACGGGCGGGGGACCGGCGATCGGCGGTGGGCGGGGACAAGAACGGGACGACGACTTGAAAAGCAAGGGTGGAGGGCATTCGAGCGGCATTCGGCCTCATCAATGTGCACAGCACGGCTGCTGCGAGCGCCTCGCTAATGGCGGAGGAGGGACGAGGGCGGAGGGGGGAGGGCGCAGGGCGGGGAGAGGAATCTTGCTCATCAGGTGGTGCTGGTGACTTTTCCACCTCGCGGATGAGATTGTGGAGATTTGTCTTGTCGTGTTCTGTTGGAAACCCCTTTTGGAGCGCGCGCCCTGGCCTGGCCTCCCCCGGATATGCACCACGCGACAATCTTCGGAGAATTGTCTCGAGATTTTTGTTTTCGCCATGTTACTTGCTGGACGGATGAGATTTTTGGGAGTGTGTCTTGCCGTGTTGGCCAGGAAAGCCGCGGCCTCTCTTTGGCCTTCGCCTCGACTCCGCTCGGCTCGCCTCGGCTTTCCGGTGAAGCAGAACTTTTCCAGCACGTATTGTGTGTCTGCTGCGTTCTCATGCGGTAAAGGCCCGGGCTTTTGTGATTTGCGATTGGACTTTTCTCCACCTGCAAGTTTCGCAACACACCAACGACGACGACAACAACAACAACACGACTTTGGGTCGGTTTCGGTCTACCCCTTTCATTTGTTTATGTTTTGAGGTAAACGTTCGATTTCTCTTTCTTAGTTGTTGTTGTTGACAATGTAGTTAGCTTTTAAGATTCTATTTCACTTAAATGCTTCTTTTTAGGGTGTTTGTACAACTTCCGAATCTCCATCTCTCTCTCTCTCTCTCCCTTCTTCCTCCAGTGCCGCGTCTAGTGTTCCATGCTATTGCCAGTGTGCAGATGAAAGTCCACCTCCACCTCATGATCCCTTCAGTTGGCACATTCTTGACCTCTCTTTGACATGCGAGGAATCCTTTAACCTACGTTCGCAACCGAAAAAGACCACATCAAAAGCACCACCGGAGATAAGATTAATTGCCAACTACTGATAGTCCAATGGTCAAGGATCTGACGTCTTCTAAAGAGAGAACCTTAGTTGTGCACACTCTCTTCACTCTCTTCGGGGGCAGGCTTAAATTCGGTCCTCTCACAAGTATCATCCACTTTCTCCTTTCAAAGTCAGAACAAAAGATCATTTTCAATCATTGTTCATACAGTGCGCGCCAATGTAAGCAAATGCATAAGCGTCCGCCGAGGAACATACTGGTATAATTCTACAGTCCCTCCCTGCTATCTTTAGTTCTGTGTTATCTTAACAAATTGTACCCGGATTCGTTGCTTTGAGGTTTTCTTCCAGTTACAACTACAAACAAAAATCCCTTTACAGTCTTAAGATTGTTTCTTTGAAGATGTGACGAGTCTTTACGATGAGTGAATACTTGGAGAATGATAATGGCTCGAAAACTAAAGATAAAATATTAGGCAACAGTTACAACGGTTCCACTGCTTACCGGCATTGATTTATTTTAAACGAGTTGATCGAAAAACTTATATATTTATACACAAGACAAAAGTTCTGAGAAGGTAAACATTCCGTTTGAGACTGCTTGACATGCGCCGTTCATGATAATAATTCTGATATTCGTTCAGTATATCTTTATATTTTTTACGCATATAATAAAATTTGAATGTACAATTTCCGTAATATTAGTGTATAGCAATTGATTTTCCTTTGCACGAAACGATAAATATAATTCATAATAAAATTTATTGTTGATATTTTTTTGAAAAATGTGAGACTTTACAATATATTATTACAAAATGATTCAGAGTAATTGATTGATTTAGATTTTAATATCAAATATTTAGTCTGAATTATTTTGAATTCGGATAAGGATGTATTATTTTAAATGTTTATTTTTTATTTAATGTATTATCAAAATTTTAAATCTTGAAATTTTAAATTTTAATTTAAATAAATATTAAGGTATCCTGTTGATTATTTTCAGATCAATTATCAAGTGCATTGGTTAAAATTTCCTTAAGCTCAGTCAATTTATCTGAAAGAATCCAAATTACTAAAATCTGAAGAAAATATTGAAAGACATAAGAATTGAATAAAATTCAATTCTTATTTCTTTCACTCTTTTCTTCAGATTTTAATGTGTAATTTGTTGTGGGTTCGTGTTTGTTCCAGTGAGAACTATTTATGACTTTGTTTCATATACATGTTCGTAATATCTTAAATCAACATGTTTTTTTTTGTCACATTATGGATTAGTTATGAATTAACTCTAGCGAGAGCAAAATACAATGATGATCAAATCATCAAGTTAATCACTTCCGATTTATTTGAATTTTGTTGTTGTGGATGAGCATGAATCGTGTTTCGATCGAATGGACTAAATTCATGCACACTTTATGTATTTAACGCTACAATGGATGCGCAAGTTATTGTATTCATACTATATGTAAGGGATGAGTGTTGTTACATATTCAAATAGATTTTTCCAGCTTTTTCGGAAGTGAGTACATGACATATAAGTCGACTAGCTCCAGAAATCTGAAAATGAAATCTCAATATATACTACCTCGAATATAAAAATATATCTAACCTTTTCCACGAACTTTACATGTAATGATAATATAATAGACATCCACAAATTCACTGATTCCTTATTCCGATAAACGCATTACAAGCACAACATAAACATAATATTGAACATGGCCTGACCCTTCAGTGATCCAACAGACTGAAGATTATATATTCCTTAGGATAATCAGGTTGAATTGTAGTGATTATTTTGCCGACAATATATGATTAGCACTATATATGCAGAAATTTGTGCAGAATTTAATATCTGAGAATGTGAGACAGTTTATCATTATATATATCTTACACAATTACAGATCAGAAATTTGTGCAGATTTAGAATTCCATATATGAGAATGTGAGGCAGTTCATGATCATATGTATCTCACACAATTACATATCAGGTCAAGCTGTAGTGGTTAGTTCTCCAACTCTTTATGATTATCTTGAAATGAAGAATAACAAATGAGATTGGTTTGTGTAGAAATTTACTTTCATGTTTAAAAACGTGAAAAATATTCGATTGAAAGACATGTACTAGTCATTAAATGACATGTTAATGTTTCATTGAAATAAAATCTTAATAAATATTTGGACATGTACAGATTGAGTTGTTAAGTCTAAAGACAGACTTTTAAAATAACGATAAGAATTTTTTTAAAGCATGAAATATAAGAATGAATATAAGGTGTGAAGAGATACGATACATAAACGGATTCAGCATCATTTAGAAATGTCAAATTTTTTATTCATCGTCTATTACATCATTTTAATCAAAGTACAAGCGATATGCAGTCTTAAAAAAAAAGTGTAAATATATTTGACACGTATTTCTATCATATTTACTTAGATAATAGCTTGTTAAATATGAAATAATGATGTTCTGGATAACTCGTGGTTCACATTGTGCGGTACTGATAGTAATAGCCAATGACACTGAAATAAAGTCATTTCGCATTTTTATGGACATGTTTATGTTCCTATGATGGAGATTGTTAAGATCTCAAAAAATCTCTTCGTAGAAAAGTTCTTCATTCTATTCACAATTTGATCTCAAACACCTCAAGAGGGATGATGTTGAAGACTGCAGTGAATGTATACGGAGATGGAACGAGTAGGGTTTGAACAAGATTTGTTGTGAGAGCGGCAAATCGAGTGAGAATGAGAATGGAAACGACGTGCACAACGTACTGACATCTTGCGTGAACGATAGGTCCCTCTACTTGTTGTTATAAAAACTATACTTAAAGATCAAAACTACCATTAGACGGAGGAGTCGGCAATCCGTAGTCATACTGCTTGTGCTTTGTGGACGATGAAGATGAAGATCTTCATCATCCAGGAATGCGGTGTGTAAACAAGAGGCTCGGCTCGAACAGGGTTTGCTGGAGATGTTCACGAGATAAAGGGTGACGGCACGTTGGTTTATTTGCCAACAATCAAAGGACCAACTCGCGGACATCTCACAAACCTAATGAGCCTCCCTCGTTTGCACTTCCGCATCAACATGAACAAAGTGGCAAGACGCATGTTTTTTAAAAAGCCCGAAGAGCGGCAAGAAATGCCCGTAGAATCTCGCGTAGCTATCCATGGCCGAGAGAGAGGGGCTAGAATCGATTTCTTGAAATGGGAAGCGGAGGAAAGCGCACTCCCAACGGAGAGCAGGGCATTAGGTGGGGCGCGATGATGACCTCCGCCATGGAAGAGAAGCGAAGAGAAGAGAAGACGAGGCAGGAGCTGGAGGAGGAAGAGAAGAAAGCGGTCGATGGAAAGCGAGCGGAGAGAGTGGAGAGTCGAGAGCTCGGCCCTGCCTCTAGAAGGCGCACCGGCGAACATCACCGGTCACGTGGCGCGGGACGGGCTGCGGATGACGGGCGGTGTACGAGAGGGCGGAGAGTGGGGGGCGACGCGTGGTGGACCTCCAACAATATCGTCCACCGGATGGAGGGCCCTACGACGTCCGCCTGTCGTCGCCCATGTATGCGCCCTACGCCCCTCTTCTCTAGACTAGAGCCCAGCCCGGCCCGGCCCCGGACGTTGACGAGGGCCGCGCCCCCGTCAACCCGTCGATCTAGTGCGGGGGGAGAGAGAGGAAGGGGAGGAAGGGAGAGGCGTGACGTGGCGGGGCCCACGGTTAGGCGAGGGGCGAGAGGTGGGGAGAGGGGTAAATAAGGGGGGCGAAATCACCGTCCGGGGGGGTTTACCCGTCGTCGAGGGGCGTCGTCGTCGGCAGGGGCAGGGGCAGGGGCAGGCTGGCAGGAGATAGCGTCGGGTGTGGGTACGGCACGAGTAATGCTGCCTGACGCCCCCTCGAATGAATGAAATATTCTCTTTTGTCAGAGCAAACTTTTGCTGCGACCATCCGACGGTCGTGGTGCCTCGCATCGTCGCGAGGGCGGCCCCCGAGTTTGAGTTGAAAAGGGCCCGTCCCGACGCCACAGCTTTTAAGAATTTGCCTCGTACCCTCTCCTCTAGAAGAAGAACTGGTCTCTCACTCCCCTCTCCCGTCCTCCCCACCTCCACCACCATCACCTCTCTCTCCCTCTCCTCCTCTCCCCTCCTCTCCTTCCCTTCCCCCTCCTCGCTCGCTCGGCGTCCTCTACTAGAGTTGCGTCGTACTCCATAAGTCTTCGTTTGTGAGCCTCGCATCTGCCCGGCCTCGGACTCTCCCCTCTCTCCTCCCTCTCCTCCTCCTCCTTCCACCGCTCCTTCCGCTCTGGCTGCTGGGGCTCGCCTGGCGCTCTGCTCTTGCTAGAAAGGGGCTCTGCGACTCCGCTCGCTTGCCTGCCGCGTCTGCTGCTGCTGCTGCTGCCGGTGCTTGTGCTGCTGTGCTCCGATCCCAGAGCCTCCGTTGTGCGGGCTCCTCGTCCTCGTCCTCGAAGGAGGAGAAGAGGTGAACGTTGGGGGTCGACCTCTGTCTGGCACGCGGTACGTGGTTTCGCTGGTGGTGGTGTGGTGTGGTGGGGTTGGGGGGAGGCCGAGGACGAGGAGGCAGGGAGAGAAGAGTGTTAGACGCTCTGGTGCCCCGTAGCTTGCCGCTCAAGAGTCCGTGGAGTTCGTGGAGTGGCGGACGAGGAAGAAGAAGGAGAAGAAGAAGAGAAACGCGTCGAGGAAACGAAGAAGCAAGGAAGTCGGCCGACCGTGGTCTAGCAGGAAACTTGATAAACATCAGAGTGCTGTGTCGTCGACGTCGGCAGCGGAGGTGCCCCCCGTTGATCGTTGGGTCTCGCGGTTTGTTTTTGTAGAGGGAGAGAGAAGAGATTTAGAGATTGACATATTGATAGAGAGGTAGAGATCGCCCTTGTAACCTGTTGAAGGAGACTGCACTCACTCCTGGTCTCCCATTTTGTTGCCGAGCTCTCGGAGGTGTTTCATGCGAGCAATCCCACGCCCTGTCGTCACCGAAGGCGCAGAGAAGAGAGAGACATAGAGAGAGAAAGAGAGAGACAGATAGTGAGTGAGAGCGAGAGTGCGAGATAGAGAGATTGGTCGATTGACTGACTGACTGATTCATTTCGAGCCTTCCACGAGGGCCACATACTTTGGAGGAGTGCCAGGCTGCTGGTCAGGAACGGACGGGGCGTGACGCTCGTGGTCGTCGTGGTGGTGGGCGGAGAGTCGCTTCTTTCGAGCGGCGGTGCTCATCTCTGCTTCTCGAGCACTCTGCATATATAGATTGGGCGAATCGCGAATGGCCTTAACTGAAATTGGGTATGATCGATGATCAGTAGTTTCCGTTTGTGGTTAACGATACCCTTCGTGTGAGCGAGAGCGAAGAGCGAGCAGCCCCATTCTGACAGGAGCTCTCGGGCCTCACCGGTCGAGACCTTCGCCCGCATTCTGATCACACACCGCGGCGGGTGTAGGATCAGGCAGCCCGATTCCAATCCCTCGCGCCCCGTAGAAATCACCCAACCCCAGCGTTGCCATAGCTGCCAGGTAGCGGACAATCCCGAGTGCCGGAGGGCGGGGGGAGACTGAAATCGGCCAATTCGAAGGATGATGGCCAGAATCAGCAGTGTAGGACCAGAAGCCTTCTCCCGAACCGATCGCATTTCCACCGGCTTCGGCTCCGTGATCCGCGATCACATGTCGAGCAGCCGCAAGGACCGGCTGCTGGGGCTAGGGGCGCAGCCGCAGGCGCCCGAGTACGAGGCGAGCTCGGCCAGCGAGCTCGAGGAGGAGGACATCTGGGGCGCTGAGAGCCGGGGCTGGGGCGACGAGAGCCCTGGCTCGGATGCGCGCGCTCAGAAGTTCGACCTCGGAGGCTACGGCAGCAGCCAGCGCGACCTCGACGCCGGGGGCGAGCACTTCCGCCTCTTCAACAATGGCCGCCGCTGGCTGAGCAGCCTCGAGAAGGACCCAGGGCTCTCGGTGGCCTATGCTGAAGGCGGTCGTGCGCGCGGTGTGGGGTTCCCCAGCCCTCTGAACCGCGCCTCGAGCGCAGCGCAGGGCTCGCCCTCTCGAGACCCTCGTACGCCATCGCGCCTGATCCCGAGCCGAGAGGCGAAAGCCTCGCACTTCGTGCAGGTCTCGTCGGCGGTGGAGTCGAAGGTGCTGCACCAGTCGGCGCCCGTGAATGTGCCGGACTGGTCGAAGATCCTGGGCACGGAGCGCAAAATCAAGGACCCGCATTCGGACGAGGTGGCGGACGCGGACCACGACGACGACGAGGACGACGACGAGCGGCTGCCGCCCCACGAACTGATCCAGCGCGACTACGCCCGCAGCCAGATCACCACCTTCTCCATGTGCGAGGGCGCCGGGCGCACTCTCAAGGGCCGCGACCTGAGCCGTGTGCGCAACGCCGTGCTGCGGCAAACGGGCTTTCTGGGCGAGTGATGGGCGCTGCCGCTGCCGCTGCTGCTGCTGCGGTCTTGCTGCTGCTGCGCTGCTGCTGCTGCTGAAACGGCGGGGGGTTCAATTTTGCAACTGTCTTCACTGGAGATGCCACTTCGGGACGTTTTCAGACGAGTGCTCGTCCAAGGTGCAACGGATACAATGACATCTGAATGAAAATCCTTTAGGGCCACAACGAAAGAACTGCTAGTGGATTGTTGATTGTTAGATAATCTCAAGGCCGAACCAAGCTCTGTCTAATCTTTACTGTAAAACTGTACATTTGACCATTAGATTACAGGCGCCCATGTTTTGGCTTATTTACTTTAGCTGACCTTACAGCTTGAGGGTTGGGACTCCCCCCGTTTGTGGGAACTGTACGATTAACTCATGTTTGATATTTGTTTATGTAATTGAAGAGGTCTCATTCAATCGAACATTTATTCCTATGGAATTGTCTGTCTCCGTCTCCTCGTATCTCGAGAGCCGCGCGTCGATGAATGTCTCATGATTGAATGTCTCACCTCTGCCCGCCTCCCGCTCTCGGCGAGTGCGCGATCCTTGTAGCTCTCTCTCACATGTTCTGGTGTGTTGTCGGCCGCGTGTGTGCGCAGGAGACTAGAGAATAAGGTTTGAGAGCGTTCTTCGGCAGCAGATGTGTCGCGAATTCGCGCACTGCATTGCCTAGGGGCAGCGGGGGGCTGGAGGATTTCCAGGCTTAGGAAGCTTTTCATGCTGGGCGACGTCGTGCCCTGCTTGAACCGGTCGCGCCTGAGCAGCAAGTACACACAGGACGAAGTTTACATCCGTCAATCTGGACACATGATTCGAACCGTCGACTGCTCGTCGATGACTTACACCGCCCCCGGGCCGAGGATGCTGATCGTCGGAACGCCGCCTTGCCTTGCCTCTCCTCACCGTTCAGGTTTTTTGACAATCTGTGAAACGAACTGAGATAGAAATAAAGATTGGCTCTGGTTCAAAAATGAGGAAATGTGTGCCTTCTACATGACTCCCGTGTCGTTAGATGTTTGAGCTACAATGGTTTCCTTCTGGATGAAAGCATGAGAGCTTTTGGAGACAATCTCGTCTCACACATGTTTGTATGCGCACTTTCATTCTGAGAGCACTCAATCTTCAGGATGTTGACAGGGAGACAAAAATCTCCGCGGTCTGCTTGAATCATGCACAGCTTCTACGTCCAGTTCTTGTGGGTACGCAGCAGAACGTCTTTGCTTGGTATTCGTGTATTCTGGACGAATTTGGAAACTTGTCAAATCTTCATGCACTGTTCCACTACTCTGCGAATTTATTATGTTAGACGAGTACGAGAAGCTGGGCACTGCAGAACAGGCTGTGTCGACCGTAGTGGAGTTATACGTCATAGAATACTGTGGAGATTTAATCTTGCACTTATGTCAGGCCAACAATGGCATCTATAATGTTCAGAGTCCTCCGCAAATAGTGCACAGCCGAGCATGTTCTACCCTAGTTGAATTTGTTTTCACTCAGAGCTCACAACGTCCCCGATGGTAGAAATGCACTGACGTGAAAATACTGGTCAGAACAAGATCAGTACGGCAGCGTCGTGCGCTACACACTATGACAGGGAAATCTGTGTCACCCCGGTAACAGCTATGCTTCGAGGGAGAGATAGAGTGTGGCAGCTGGAGAGATGGCAGCTGGGTCTAGACATATGGGCACGGAGGTTAGGCAGGGTCTTCGCACTCTCCCCATAGCACTTGTAAGATGTGAAGAACGATGTAAAAGTGAACAACACCCCAGTGGAAATGTACTGAAGAAATATGCAAATGCGAATTCAACTCCCATCGAAGTACGTGTCGTCATTTCTATGAATCTCTGGGCAGTTATTTATGCCCTTAAGACAAGACAAGAGGTGGATATGAAAGCTCATTGAAAACCTGGAAAGTATACACACCCACAGTAGTGAGGTATAACTGTAAGAAGCAAGAGAAGCAAATGCGTTCCTGTTTCATCACTTTTCTGTCTTCTCGGACGGAAGTATAGTGATTTCACGTTTCCACTGGTATGGACTACGCTTACAAACTTCCCAATGTGGGCAAGCGTTGTTGGATGGCCCTGCACAGTAGAAGGCACGCAGGAAAACGGTGGTGAGTGGAGAGCTGACAGAATTCAATTCACTTGCCCATGAGGCTGAAAATAGTCAAATCTGTCTCTACAGCATTCAAGTTGGGATTCTGTTTGTGGACTACGTCCACAAGTCGGGATGACTTTTGTTCAGTGCAAGTGCAAGGGGCTCCTCCCGGAGAGTCAGGTAAACAAACAGGACACAAGGAGATTGAAGTGTGGGCCACTTGCCAAGAGTAGCACACGGGAAGCGTATCGAAGATGACAAGTTTTCTCTACCGTCCTCCAGTCGTCAAACAAAAACTGTTGCCGGCAAGTACACTTCGTTCAGATGGAACGGTACAAAACCTCCTGCTGCTCATCCCGCTGCTGCAGCTCAGCTCAGCTCGCTCTCAGTAGGTACATCATGTACTACTGTATGTGATCCGATCCATCTAGGAAAGTCGCCAAGTCCATTAGCAGACAAACGTAAGGTCCGGGAATCTACCAGGAAACTTAAACTGTATGGATCACGGGCAGACCGACGGCCAGGTGTCGACCCAGAGGCGAAAGATGGAGGTTGCAACTCCGTAGCGGTGTCTTTCCGTAGGCCACCATTCCTCGTGCAGTGCAGTGCTGTGCAGTGCAGGGCAGGGGAGGGGCAGCAGTTCAGTCCACTGGGAGGAAGCAAGCAAGAGTGAGACCGGGTCCCAAGAAGGATGCAACAAATCAGTGACTCGCTCTGCCCCGCCCTGCGCTGCTCTGATCTGCCCCGGCTCTCTTGAATCTCTTCTCTTCTCCTCTCTTCTCTTTGCATTTCGTCTCCATGGCTGGCCCACGAGATAACACTGAATGAACCACTGTGCCTTTTGCATGAATCTGTCGACATTCATCGGATTCAGAACGATTTGAGCGTACGGTTCCTCTCCCCCTCTCTCCCTCTCTCCCTCTCTCTCACATTCAGTACGTCTCTCGCATGTCTCTTGGCAAATCAGGACGAGATGTTGTCGCACACTTTGTTAATTTCACCCTTCGATCAGGAAATTCCCGGCACTGTACTGTACTTAATCACTCTTGCACTTACCACCAAATTCCCTGCGGGTTGGAGCGAGGAAAAAGAGACGGGACGAGACGCAAGGACTCATGTACCTCCATCATGATCATGATCTACGTCTACAGTAGATAGATAGTACACTCTTAAACCAGGTTCCGAGGAGAAGTCAGTCCATCAGTAAGGTAGAGGAGCAAATGCAGACCGGGCAGGACAATTAGAGAGGGAGGCGAGGACACTCCATCTCAGACTCCTCCTCCTCCTCCTCCTCCCTCCCTCCCTCCCTCCCTCCGGAGATCCGTCCTCGAGGGTCGAGCCCTGCTCCCAGTGTACGATGGGAGACCCCGCCGTGATATTTCTTCCCAGGTCGTCCATTTACGACCACATTTTGTGTATTCTAAAAGGCTGAAAATCTGGCAGTGGAAGAGAACAGTGTCCATATGTGAACCAGATACTCAAAAGAGAGGCAGTTTAAGTGTTTGCAAAATCTCAAAAGCACAGTATTGCTGCTGCTCCTCGCTCTCTTTGTGTCCTGTACCAGGTTAGGAAAGTGCCAAGGAAGATTAAAAAAAGAACTGTACCTGATTCTCAATCTCTGTAAGGCCTCTCCTCCCATTATCATGGCTAGCCTTTTGCTCCTGCTTTCCTTTTGCAGTGGAAAGCAGAAGTAATCGAATGATCTGACCTGATCCGAAATGATGGAGACAAAGCGAATTTTTTAATTATTTGCTCCCTAAAGAGTATGACCAGATTATTGCATGAACGACTCGGAGAATATTGCGAGCCAGTATGAAGGATCTCCCAGCGTGCTGGGAACTTTTCCATCTCCTCGTTCAATCGTCCACATCTTATGTCATTGCGGTGTTTTAGCTCCTCTCCTCACGTCCCTCGTGTTCAGCTCAGCATGAAAAAATCACACAAGTGAAGTCATTCCGAGTTCTAGGGAAGAATAATGAATCTAGTATCGCATCAGCCAAATCTTGAAACTATGTGAGCACGAGATCTATCCGATCCACCTTTAGAAAAGAATGTTTAACAAAAATGGCAAAACATTTTGAGAAATCGTTGAAAAAACCGATATGTTTGTGGACATGGGATCTAGAGCTATGTGTATCAGCACGAATCATTGTCTCGGACATAAAATATGTACATTTCTGATATTTATCAGGAATATTCGCTCGGATGTATAGTATAGTATAATCTGCACTTGCTACTTTTGCTACTTGCTGCATGAGCATCATGCTCGATCAGCTCTGCGTTCGTTGTTCCATATTCCTCCTCCTCCTCTCCTCCTCGATGCCCTGCCCTATTCTATTCTATTCTTTTCGTACAATGATTAGGCATCATCATGACTCTCATTTCATCATCCCTGCCTCAAGCTCGTATTCATCCATCAATCCATCCATCATCTCCAGCATCTCCAGCACCCGGGCCCTTCTCTGCCCTGCCTTGCACCAGTCCCTCCTCTCTCACCTCTAGAGCTCTTATTCATCATCCCCATAGATTTTATGCTCATCATAAGCGCACTCCTGCTCTTTCTTCAGACGGACGCATCTCAATCTCGTTTCCCTTCGTGATTGAGTTTCTTTCCTCCATTCGCAAGGATGGCACCCACTGCTGCTCTAGACTAGACTGCCCTCCCTCCATGTTCGTTAGTTCTAGACCCCGCACGCACGCACGCACACTCGCTCGAATCTTGTCAGACAGATGCGATTGTGACGAGCCACAGGAGCTTGCTTTCTTGCGCAAATTCCATCTCGAGCTGGCCCGAGAATTCAGTCATGCCCGATCTCTTCGTCGTTGCACTTCGCGAATCCTCCTCCTCCTCCTCCAAAAGCTTGTCTGCAAGAGCGACTGCTTCATCGTTTCCTCCCTTCCATTCAAAGCCTTGGGGATCGCTCGAATTGGAATTACGCTGGGCTAGCAGAGAATCCCATCGAGGATTCATGTCCCTGCCCCACCACCACTCAAGCCTCCCCTGGACGAGGTTCACATATTTACATATTAAATATTTCGTCCAGCAATAATAACTCTCGGTTGCCCGGAGCTATCAAAGGCTCTCGATGGTGCTTGTCTAATTTAAATTTATTTTTTTATAGCCCATTTTTTCCTTGAGTGTTTTCCACCTCCGACCATGATTCAGGACCCTTCTTGGGGATGATGAGCTATGCTCCCATTTAAATAAGAATTCTCGATCACAAGATATAGGTTCTCTTTCATTCGTATACTTTTTAGTTAATCAATTTATTATTCCACTTAGATAATGCTCCAATGGGCTGAAAATGATGAATTATCCTTTGTTTCTAACTTGGAAACTCCAGACTGAAAAGAAAATAATACCAACTGCTGAGACGTACACCGAGTGCATCGAAAGGATGAGGAAAGGCCGGTCCAGAATTTGGTCCTCGAACAATCTGTCGGATGTACTATAAGATAAACCTGCAATGGACTCTATTAAATATGGGTCGAGAATGAAAGAGGATAACGAGGGGGTACTCTGTAGTCTCCCAGCAAGACAATTTATGTCCATAATATATGATGGTTCGGCAGATGACGACTTCATTCATCTCAAGCGCTTGAGATAAAGGCGTCATTATTTTTTCTAGAACAAATACCTATCATGGCGAAATTTCATCTTGAAATCTGCGTGAGAGCTCTTTATCCACAATTGCGAGGTGATTGAAAGCATAATGATCGAAACGCGCATGATGAGACTTGATTTCTGTAAGACGGTGGAATTATGACCATTTCCTTGGTCTTTTTGAATAGCAAATGATGTGCTCTGAGATAGACTTAAATAAGACCGAGCACCGTATTGAGTTAGTTTAATAAATCGCA